CGACAGTGCATCAGTAAAACGGCCATTCACATTCCTCTCCAGCTCTTACCGGCAAACCGTAATCAAGTTCTTCCTTTCCACCGCGACGCTCCGACAAGATGCTTTTTTCGACGACAGCCCCATCGCCATTGCAGACTGGAGGCAGCTCGATTCCATCCAGGACGGCGCAGATCCACACCGCTCGGTACCGACCGACAAGACCCCTCCCTTGTTACGCCGTGTACATCTCCCCGGGTCCTCGGGCTGTCGGAAGGAGATCGCCAGCGATGAGGGATTCGTACCCAACCGACGAAAGGAGCCGTCAAACGTCAAAATGCACCGATATCTCCCCCACCCCCCCTTTTTTAAAAAACAAATGTAATTCTAGCTCCGGTGCATACCGGCCCTCCGACGCAGCTCGCTGAAGCGGTACTGTCCGAGGTGCTACAACATCCCTCGTCTCTCCTCCCTCTGTCTCCTGTACCAGTGATCTCAGAAGATGCCCCCCAGCCCGGCTTTCGATGACGTGTCGAACAGCACAGCCCATCGAAATACAGCTAGAACTACCCACCGTCGAGCACAGCAATGAACTATAAATAAACCTTGCGAAACTGCATCCCTGCATCTTTAATGCACGGAAAGCAGCACGATCTTTCATTTATACTATCAGGTAGCAAGCCGTAACCTCCAGCATGATCCACTATATCAGAAATAATACGAGTATTTCAATATAAGGTGGAAATTCAAACTGTAGCCTGTGATAGTTTGCCTTGGAAAAAAAAAACCGTTATATTTACGAGGACAGCGTAATGCGCTATCTTGGTAATTACCGGGCCTTAAAATAACAGGCAGCGATGTTCTTACACGATGTACATGTACACCTGAAAATAAAATACTAAGACAAAGAATTATAGCCCGCTCCCTGAATGTCAGCATAACATGTTGGGGAAAGTCTTAACATTTCTGTTCATGTAAAATGAGGTTTAAAATTCATCTTAAGTCATTAAAGGGCGCACTGTACCTCATCTAATCCTGGACCTTTCATCAAGTTTGATTTTAGACACGTACTGTATGTGGTGTAAATGGTTGGAAAAACCGCTCAGGCTTTGATAAATTTTACGGCTATTTTCTCAATGCAGGGTAAGAGCCAAGATCTTACAGAAGAGCCCACTGGGGGGAGTTTTAATTTCTGTACCTACCGAGGAGTGCTTGACGGCTGCAATCCGGTCTCGGTTGTGCGGTTACCTTGAGCGCGTACTGTGTCCAATTTGAACTATACCGTTCGCATGTTTTTAACGGTATTCAAATGCAAAAACAAAATCATTTAACACATGAAGAAATCGCTGTCTAGACGATCCACCCATCGACATTTTTTATTCGACCTGGCTGAACCGTGCAGATTTGAAAGGTGCCATGCTGCTCAGTGAATCATATCAACGGGCTGATCATTTTGGTTATCAAACGGGAAAGGAAGCTTGTCGGACGCAGCTGTGAAAGACAGACATCGACGCTTCAGAGCAGAGAGCTCAGGGCTGGGCGAGTGCTTTAATGGTATAACCCGAGATCATCGGCGAGTTTAAAGTGGCACCTGAAGAGCAGCCCCCCCTGCAGCTTCCTCATCACGTGTCTGAAATGCTCCTTACCAGGATCCTGCTCTATCTCCGGTGCAAGAACACTTACTGCGGTCACCGAGAAGGGAGCAATGGGGGAAGGGAGTACTGGAAATCGTTCATCCATCATCGGGAAACTGCTCATTCCCAGTAAGGTACAGCAAACCAGAGCCCATCCCAGAAAGCGCAGGGTGCTGGGCAGGACTACAGTCTGTCCCGGGCCACATGCAATTTAGCGACAGTGTTAAAAAAAGCCCACGTGTTCTGGACACCAAGAGCAAAGTGCAGCACTCCAACAGCCAAAAGAACACAAGGGTGACATGCAAATTCCACACAGAAGATCCAGCAGGTAATGCAGAAGCCAAGAGGTGTGAGGCAGCAGAGTTATTTAAAGGTTAATTGAAAATGCACCATGTGAAAGGTACAAGCACGAGAAAGAGTGTCAGTAATTCTGCCATTCTAATTTGTATATACAGCAGCAGATGCGGGATAAAAAAAAACACATGTCAGTAATTGCGAAAGATACAAAGCTGCAAAACTATTCTGCCAAGCAATGTGACTCAGACTGTCAGGAAACACTTTTCAATCACCTGTGAAAAACCTGTAGAAAATGAAGGAACAGGCTGTGATGTGGACGCAGTCTTATAATTGACATATTTTTAACTGGCATCTGCCACGTTAAAGCATGCTTGAAGGGCAGAATTAATAAGAAACCCCCTTCAGAACTCACCTTGCAAGCTGGGACAGCTATAAAAATACTAAATGGATGTAACCACGAGGTGGCTAAATTAAGACCAGTGTACAGAATTCAGCCTCAGTACAAATTCTTTACCAGCTGAGAATTACTTAAAAAAACCTCTTAGACAAACTCAAATTTTCCACAATGTAAGAAACAATTCCCAGACACCTCAGTAGGCATATTGAACCATTTTATTGTAAATAAATGTTGATACACTGGGCTGGCTTTGCACTGCAAGCCCCCTGTCGATATATATATCCTTATATATTCATATACATATTTAAACTACTGGTCCATATTCTTCTGAGTAATCCAGGGTCTCAAACAACACTGACATTCCTTGGAAGATATCGAGCACTTCAAAAGAAAAGATTCCTTTGATGGCAAGGAATTTTAAACTTAACCATCACCATGTTGAGCAGCGGAAATAATAGAAAAAAACTGATACGAGTGGATGTTCACTCGAGGTGAAAGACTTCTGACTGCAAGGTTATAGTCAGCACAAAACAGGCACTCAGGAGGTCCCCCAACCCTGGGCTAAACAGAATCGTCACGCTGGGTGAAATGTTGCTCTGGTATCCCCTGTAATTGCCGCCTAAAACTCAAAGATACTTCAGCAGCCTCAAGCCCAATTTCAAAATGCTGTGGAGCCTACTGACGGAAAGTTTCACTACAATGGTGGTGCTCCATTCATAAGCACTTGTTTTAAAACAATTCCCCCTATTGTAGAAGAAGTCGGCTTCTTTTTTTAAATAACACTGCAACTGTGATGAACGAAAACACGCCGTTTGAAACTTGTTTTGAAGAAAACATTTGGAGAAGCTTCACTGTAGCACAACAGTGTCCAAAGCATTCATTGAAAGGGTGGTTTGGCTGTCAAGAGATCTCTCCCTCGTCTGTTTGAGAACTTTAAAAGTGCTCAGAGATTATTGGGCAGATGTGTTCGGCACCATGCTCACTGATTGAGCCACAAGACATTCAGTCAACTGTCCCAAATGATCTTTAACAGAAAGAAAACAGTAGAACCTTACAAAGGTGCTAATAAAAGAAAAAAAGCACAGAACTCCTGCAGACTGTGGCATGGATACAGCATGCTGCCCCAGACCACTTGAAGTTTGAGGCTATGTGTCCCTGTGGTGTTTGTTCCAATGTCCTCATTCAATAAATGGCTCGAATCCATCCCTCCATTTTCTCACTGCTTTATCCAATACAGGGTCGAAAGGCAGTAGAAGCCCATCTCAGCCTCCCCGTCACAAATGAAACCCCAGAAACCCTCTTTTAGCACACTGTCATCGCCTTTCCAAGTGACCCAATGGGGAAATGGCTCTGTGGGCAGAGCTTTGTAACCTGGAGATTGCCTCTTCAGGTCTGAGCTATGTCATTAGTGCAGTGTACCCACAATTCCCCAAGCCGCAGAGCATTGTTTGGTCCGTGCCACTGCGGTTATGGGACTGCACGGTCCCTTGGTGTGCCTCTCTACGGTGACTCCCATGGGTGCCCGCAAGCTCGCAGTGTCCCTAGAGCCTGCTGTTCCAAGTCCTTCACCTGAAGCTGGTGGTGCGTGTTTTGGTTGCTGTGTGTGTGTGCGCACTTTTTTTCACTGCTGCTGAAGATGTTTTAACAGCAAGGCAAGGTGCTGAAACAATTGGCAATTCCACACATGAGGAGCGCGAGGAGGAAAAGTCTCCCAGGACTGAGCAGTGGAATTTGTGACTGTTGGGTTGGTTAAAGTCTGACTTGATCCAGTTATTTTGACAGGTACAGTCCAGTTAACAGGACTGGACCTCACAGGACTCCCATCTTTTAGTTGCTGTCTAGTGAAGGGTTGATCTTCAGTGGGACTGTTGGTTCGGCTGCTACATAAATTGGACACCCCTCACAGACCTGTACAGCACTCACAGGGAATACAGAGCTCGTTTGACCCAGTGTTTTTTTAACACTACAAATAATCCCTCAGCATAATCTCTGCAAAACCAGCTGCTTCTGTTTTTCTTATATCATATTTCTTAAGGCATCATTAGAAACTGTCATTAGAAACATCATCCAACTGTCTAGAGTCGATATAACAAAAATATATTTATATATAAAAAACACATCATCCTATTAATGAACTCTAGGGTATAAATAAAGAGAAAAAGAGGCTTCACATTAATGATTCTTTTTGTGAAAAAAAAAAGCCAAAAGCTAACAAAGGCACAAAAAATACCTACATTCATAAAAAAGTGCATTTCTGACAAAATAAATGCTAGATTTGACAGGCAGGAGAGAAATGAATCCTCTTATCCTTAGCCCCCCCATTCTCTAACTCAGCGAACATTTTACTTAATGTACAAAATACTGGAAGCAACTGGAATAACACCGTCTCAGGAAGAAAATCGTGTTTTTTTTCGGGGGGAGGAAGCGAGGAGGAGGCAAGCCAAGCAAACCGTCTCCAACACAGAACGCCTTTCCGCATTCTCACTTCAGCTCATCAGCGAAGTCAAAATGAAGGCTTTGCCCCCTCGAACCCCAACACTCGTTCTTTGGGAAAACGGAGAAGAACACTCTTTGGTACAAGTACGGATGTGGTGCGGAGAACCCCCTCACGAGACACGAGAAAGAAATGGCTGGCACAAACAGTCCCAGAGAGGCAGCCGCACGGCCAGACCGCCGCGCGATCACTGCAGATCGGATCGCGTTTCGGCCGGGGGGCGCGCGGGGAGTGGACTGGTGCTGGACAAAAAAAAATCTGAGCGTCCAAAAATGGCTTTTCTTTGTGACATCCGTTCAGTGCAAATACTCTCAGAACTGTCAAACCGGTGAAGACTCTCACTGGAATAATGCTGATTCAGGTCAATCTGTGCTCACTAGAAAAAGAACAAACACTGCATTCTCCTACTGTATATTCAGAAAGGCATTAACGCTGTCCATATCCCTTGTTCCAGATCCAAAACAAACAGGACAAATGGAAAAAGATACCTATAAGCAGGGGCTAGGTTTCTTCATGCTGAAATAGGCACATGTTTCTATCTTGACAAATATGTTGCTGATAATATGCATCAGAAGAACATCTGGTGTCACCTCTGTTCTGGCCTGCTTTGACTGAGTGGCTTGGATTATGATACAGGGTGTGCTACAGCCGTAATAACACTGAATATTCCAATTATGTCTCTTAAATAGTAAAGTGCTTGACTGTAGTTCTTGAGAATTCATCTATGTAACGTTTTTAAAATACTGAACAAATTGAGATCATGTAGAATTAGGAGGCCATGTTTTACTGTCCCTCTAGATGCTACTGCCACTAGAGAACTGAGCAGGCAGAGGGCTTCATGAGCTCCGAGTTATTTTTTGATCATGAAGATGCTGCTTCTTGGATTTGTCATCCTCTCCATCCTGGTGGCCACAGCAATCTTCTGAAAACTCTTTTTTTTCTTACTTCACTCTCAAGGGGACCGCTGTCAGTGCCCTGCAATGCGTTACACCAAGGCGAATCGCTGACCTGATTCCCCTCAAGTCCGTCGTATGGGATTTTGGTTTCAAACCTTATCAGAAACATTACAGAACTGTCACCTGCAGGTAGACCTGGTACAAACTACAATGCCCAGTAAGGGGCAATTACTGCAGGCAATAAGCACTAGGACACTTACTGTGTTTTTTTGACAGAAGTAAAGAGAACTTTGGATCTAACCTACAAGGTCAGATTTCAACCTGGCTGGAAATCTGGAGGAGCACGTGCTCGCCTCCTAGGGTGCTCTCTCTCCATGTAGCCCTGATTCAGGGCAAACCTCCAAGGCACTTTATGCCAGCTCCTGGTTTTGGAACTCATTATCTATCAGCTAGGTTGTCGGAATTGAGATTTAACCAGTCTCTTAGTAGAAGCGGAAAGTACCCAGTTCGGGGTTCTTCATTTGTGCCATTCAGCAGTTCATCACAATTTCACAAGGAAATGTGGAATCATCTGTAGTATTACAATAGCATGCTAAGTCAGAAGTTGCTCCTGCAAGACACTTCTCTGACTTGCCTCCTGATCCAAACCATTCCCCCCTGCAGTGCCGGACAGGGGCATCAGCGCCACCTGGAGGAGATGGAGTGTCTTTCACTCTCGCCAGAGGCACACAGGATGTCCCAAGACCGACGGGCACACAAGCACACTTTGTGAAATAATAAACACGATCGCTCGCCTCGCCTTGAGTACAGGGACCAGCGCCAGAATAACCCCCAGCTCTACAGGACAGTCGAAAGTGTGCTGAGAAAGAACCGACCTGAAATTTAAGATCTGGCCGGTTTTTTGAAGGCAAGACAATAACTGCGGGAAAATTTCAGTCACAAATAAAAATGACGGACGTCTCATCTTACACACAGCATTGCAAAATACTAATAAGTTATAGAAGTTGTCTTTTTCACGATTTAAGACAATAGCCACAGTTGGGTCAACTGTGAGCCAAACATGAACAGCAGCTCCGGGCACTGCTATCAAGACTTACTCAAAACCAGGGGCAGTGCCTTAACGATGCATCTGGTCAGCACTAACTGATTCTAAACAGAACTGTTCAGTCCTGGATCCTGGCCTCTTGAAGAAAAAAAAAATCTATATACAATTGTTTGCACTTAAAGACGTTTGCTCAAAGTGGGGATCCAATATTTCTGAGCACCACTGAATTCCATTTTGTAGGAAAAAAAAAGGATCTGTTGGATCCCAGTGTACTAATGGCAGTTATCCCATTAAAGGTGAACCCAAACACTGTACAGAAGCAGCCATTAACTCAGCTATTCCACTGCATATTAAAATAACAGGAAAGAAAGTACTGGATCCTGACCATTTTTACAAAGGATCTTGCACCTCAGTAAACCTGACATCCTCACTGCAGCTTGGTGCCCCCTTGTGGTGACCGCAGGGAATGCACATTCATCCAGGAGGTGCCCCTGTGAAGGCGGGACTGCCACGGCCCCGGGGGTCTGCTCAGCACAGGATCTGGGAGAAGGGGTGTCTCAGCAGCTCCTCCGCGGAGGGCCGGTGCTTGGCCTCCACGAAGATGCGCTTGAGGAAGTCGCGCGTGTGGTCGGAGATGTGGGAAGGCAGCGCGGGGTTGGTGGGCTGGGTGGCGATCTTGAAGATGGCGGCCATGGCCTCGTACTCCGCCCAGGGGGGCTTCTCCGTCAGCATCTCCACCACCGTACAGCCGAGGCTCCTGTCCGCAACAAAAGGAAAAAATCAAACCATTTTATTTAGGTTGCAATTTTTAAGGCTTTATATATACATACACACACAAATGTCTTTCCTAAGAATTACAAAGGTACTGCTGCTCAGAGCTGTCTCAAACTTTTGGTTTGACAGCTGCCACTAAGGGGCAGCAAGAAATACAATTCAGGAAGGGTGGAAATCGAAGCTGATCTCCAATACCATCTCAACCTCAAATCATGTCACAGTATGCAACATGGCACCACCTACAGGCTGAAGGGCTGAGTTTCAAGAACTGAGCAGAAAAGGAAAAAAAAAATCACACTTGCTAAATTAAAAACATTTAATAAAAAAGCTTTTGTTAATTACAAAGGCCCAACTCTTGTCAAGTCAGTGAAACCCCTGGGAATTTCAGTCTTTCTTAATAATGATCCCTTTTATGGCTAAGGGTAAAAGAAGTTTTTACTTTTTTCATCCAGTAAAAAAACTTTTAATTAGGCAGATTCGTCAGCAATTAGATGATGATATTGCAGTACAGTGACTTGGACAGAACCCTACCTGAAAACTCTTCACAGTCGGGCTTTAACGAAAAGTAACAACATGCTAAAGTGTTGCCATCACACATGACATGCAAGTTTCCCCCTCACACATTTTTCTAAATGGTGACACCACGTTCAAGCTGTTCTAATAAAGCAGTCTCACGGGTTCTTGAAGATTTTCACATGAACTTGGACTAGGAATCTACAAACACCGGGATATAGATTTACAAAAAACATCAGAATTTGTCAAGAATGTTGCTCTGGGGTTTCACTGGACAGAAGAACACAAACTGTGAGAGTTTATTTTAAGACAGCTGGAATGTTTTCATGGAAACTTTTTATGTACAGCATTAAAAAGAATACAGGCAGTGTCCTGACATGAAGAGTGTCTGGATGGAGAAAAACACCCTTCGATTTCGGTCCCTTTTCCAGGCGACAGCCTTCTCGGGTTTCAGCGTGTTCCCAGTCCCTGGGGGAGTGGGGAACACGGGCGGGGAAAATTCCGACCCCAGATCGAGCTGCTCACTGGAAGGGCTGGCTCTCGGCCAATCCCAGCTCCCTGACGCAGACTGCCCAACCAGACTGCAGGGGGAACCCCACTGTGAACCAGGAGCAGGTGAACCCCCCCACTTTACGCAGCTTATTCAGTTTAGGGGCCTAATTTTTTTATTATTCCACTGCTTTTTTAGCAAGTCCACATAAATAAGAACTTCTCAATAAACCACATGGGGGCTGTTATATAGTGGAGAAGCTAAGGAAATAGTCATTCAACCGTCAAAACAGGCCTCAGAGACACTTAATGCATTTTAACCCTTTGTTTCTATTGCCTATGATGTTAAACTTCACTTCCATGTCTTCTGTTTTCAAATCCAGTCTCAGCAGCCCATAATCCTTCAAGATCAGGGGTGTGTTGTGCTCCAGTGCTCTCTTTTCACTCTCAAACTCTCAGCAGGAGAATTCAAGATCAGTCACACCTCCCTATTGATCTGCCTGGATGCTCTACTGCCTGAACTCTCTTCATCTCTGCTTTAGCTATTTTATGGACTTTAAAGTGTTTCAGAACCTGGACCCTGAATAAAGAGCCAGCAGGAGGAAGCGCCGAGGAAGTGAAAGTGGACGAACTGCAGCCTTACCAGACATCCGCTTTCCTGCCGTAGCCCTCCCCACTGATCACTTCCGGGCTCATCCAGTAGGGGGTGCCAGTCACCGAGCGGATTCCTGTTCCGGACATGCAGATCGTCTGCAGGCGCTTACTGGCACCAAAATCCCCCAGCTTCACATTCCCTGCGGAGTCCCGCAAAATGTTTGCACCTGAAGGGCAATAATACCCGAGTTAAAAAGACGAAGGGCCCTACAGGAGCTGGGGCTGGGCAACTGCAGGCACTGAGGGCTTGAATCTGTGCTGTGGCGTTGAGCAGGGACACGGAACTCTCAGGGGGGTACCGGTCGCTATAGTGGAGCGAGATCACAATCACAAAGTTTGGGATTTACAATAGGTGAGTGATTGCATTGCATGCATCTACCTTATCTTCAGAACAATAACAACAAGCCCAAAATTCTGCAATGGATCCAATAAACACTGCACATAAATAAAACAATGCATTTGTCAGACCTTCCCAAACCATCACGAGGAGCGAATTGCTTTAACTAACCCTCCCCAGCTGTCAGGAAAAGCAACATTTTTCTCTCCGTCGGCAGCAAGGAGCTCGGCAGGCTCTCCTACGAAGAGGTTTTGCAAAGCAAATTTCCAGTCAGTTACAGTGCGTCTCTGCTGGAGGCCAGGGGCTGAAGGCACAGGAAGTGAGCTGCCCCCTCCCCCAAGACAGGTCTGTCTCCATCAGATGGACTTCTTGTGTGCTTTCTGATAAGACTAATGAGAGTCTGACTCGGGACCTCTGGCTGGGGACTGACAGTGAGTCTGGGGTGGCCTCCTCTCTGATCTTTTCTTTTGTGTCCTGAGCAGAAATCGTCACCGTTTACAGCAGGAGCAGTAGAAACCAGTGAGGTATTCTTAACACAATAATTTAGCAACCATTCTTTTCATCGATATTCTGTATGAAATAATAATTATCTTCTTAATCTTGATGCCTTCTGTAACTCCTCCAGAACTATGCTGATTTTTTTTTTGTACAGTCAGCCTAACAGCTAGGTCAGATCCTTCGATCCATTAGCTACTAACTACCAAGCAAGCTACAAAAGACTGAACGGCCTGCTCTTGTCTATAACTTTATCTAATTTTTAAAGATCACTGCTTACCGGTCTGCAGTCGTCTGTGCAGATCCAGTTTATATTCCTGTTCCCAGCTCTTGCTCACCTCATGCACGTCTCCTGCTGCCCAGTCTCTTCTATGTCTAACTCACCTCAACCCCTTAAAGAAGCACTTATAAGTAAAATAACACTATGATACCACAGATCAAGGCATCAGCATAATCAATAAACCCCTAATAAAGCTCTTCATTACTGCAGTCGTGTCTAAGGGAGATGAGGACAGTTGCACCTGTTAGTACCTTTGATGTCACGATGGACAATCATGTTGCTGTGCAGGTAGGACATTCCTTCTAAGATCTGGCGCGTGTACTTCCGGGTCACTTTCTCAGTAAGAGCTCCGTACGCCTTCAGCTGGTCCTTCACAGAGCCCTGCACGAGTTGAGACAGTTTCAGAACACATTGCCAGCTTGTCAGTTCACATCTAGGACAGGAAGTAATGGTCTCCTGAGAGCTATGGAGTTATCCACCCCCATATGATCCCTGGAATTTTTCTAGTCACGTTCAGGGATGGTTTTGTCTTTCTAAACCAAAGGCCTTTCTTTCACTTTTGCTATTTTGACAACTTTGAACACTTCGGCACTTGTCAATCCTTCTTCTAATATCTTTCTCCCAGCAGTGGGACAGTGAAAGCGGAGGAAATCACCTGGATCCTCAACAATCGGATGCCTTTCTGAAACCAGCAGTCCTCGCCAATGCCCCCTGATGCTCCCTGGCGCGTACTCACCCCGGGCATGTACTCCATGAAGATGGTCAGCGTCTTCTCGTTGCGATCCCGCAGACAGCCGTAGTACTGCACGATGCGCTCGTGGTGAAGGTTCTTCAGCAGCTGGATCTCGCACTCCAAGGCGCTCACCTCCTGCAGGGGAGCAGGACAGGACGATGAGCAGAAGCAGAGAGGGTGGGAGCGTCGCCAGGGACGACCTCGTTTCCCCACCGCCTGCGAGAGACCCTTTCTGGAGAACTGTGTTGCGCTACTGTTGCCATACTGAGATAAGGAGTTCAAAGGGCAGCCTTTTACACAGTATATAAAATATAAAAGCAAATTAACTTTTAACTTTGGGTATTTAAATCTTAATAATAATAATAATAATAATAATAATAATATAACTGATTTCCTGTGGATGAATGCTACCAATGGCCCCATATATGCTCACCAAACTGCACAGTCTTCACAGGTTGAGTCACGAATGAATTTATAAGTACACTATTCCCATAGACCTGTAGTTTCAATAAACTTCCTAACAAAAAAGAACATCGGGACCCACATTAATTATCACTGTTACCTTCCAGCCAACCACATATAACAAACCCAACATAGTGAAGAGGGCTCTTTGCTTGCCAGTGACTGCCAGACAGCCCTTAGGAAGTCCAGCTGCAGCAAATGCAGAATGCCAGTAGTTATTCAGCATCAAGGAAAAACAAAAACACTATGGGCACTATCCAGGGGAAGAGATAAAAGGAAAATGTTTTTTTTTTTTTTTTACAATTGCCCTTCACACTTGCAATCAGTTTGTTCGATTTTGGCCACAGATCCAACTGACAGCCTTCATCAAGTCCTGGCTTGGGGACAACACGCGAGAGCGCCCCTACAGTCCACAACAGACCTGCTATTCTAGGCTTCATCAGCCGCCTCCTCCCCCATGACTACACTAACTTCCCTCTGTCAGACACGGGAAGCGACAGCAGTTATTTCTTCTGCAGCAGACAGGAAACAGCTTTCAAGAAAAAAAAAGAAAATCACAATTCTAACGTTTAAACTCCAGCCAGAAAATAAACGAGTTACTGCCCTGATTGCAGTGACAGTTTGGGGGCACATCTGTATTGTTCCAGGCCTGATTTACTAAAAACATCCGGGATGAGCACTTGAGAGATTCCTTTTGGATTCCACTTCAAGGAAAGGAGCAGCAGAGCACATGTTTGCAATCCTCCCCCAAGCACAGTTCTGTTAGATCCTTCTGGAGCAGTGTGTACTGAATGAAATGTTTTCTTTCACCCTGCTCGACTCAAGCTTGTTGAATCATCTCAGGGAAAGCTTCTCACATGAACCAAAGGTCGAGAATAATCAACACAAAATGAGACAGCATTTACTTCCTCAGTATGCCTATTAACATACCTCCTCCTTGTATTACAGGAACTGCCACATAGCCTTGTAATATGTTCTCGTTGCAGATGGTACGTAGTAAATGGAGCACAAATCACTTTTGAAACTACAACACAAACTATTACGCAGTCAGCACCTTAGGATGCTACATTTGAAACTATAAAGCACCATGATAATAGTGGTTTTCTAACAAGATGTGAAAACTTTTAGCCGGGATTTTTCAATAAACTTTTTCCCTTCGTGATCTTAGGCAGAGCTGGCAGAACTTTCCCACACGTGGTTTAAAACTTTAAATAATACTTTAATCATCCACACTAACCACTCCCTTTACTCATTAGTATTAATATTCTTCAGAGCTTACAATGGATGAACCAGGGAAGCATCACTCAGGTTTCCAATACCGCGCGCGTACAGTCACAGTCCACACACGGAGCGACCCCTCTAGCACAGCGCTCGCAGCATCAATCACGGATCCATCCCAGAATCCCCCCTTCAGCCGTGCAGCTCTGGGTGCGAACTGACCTTGCTGGTCTCGGGGCTGTCAGGGTCAAACTGCACTTGCTTGGCGGCCAGCTCGCGCCCTGTGTCCACATCATAGCACAGGTAGACTCTCCCGAACGCTCCCTGTCCCAGCAGCTTCCCCCTCCTCCACGTCAGGGGCGCGCTGGGGGCTGCAAGAGAAACGAAAAGTGAAACCCAAATAACCCGAGGCACCCAGAGCCATGCACCATACATCACCAACAGCAGCTAACCAATGGTCATGCCTGCAGTGTGCTTTTCACTGCTCACTTCCTGCTGCTTTTTAACAGTACTTGTAAAACAATTACAGGAAACTTACAAAGTGGGCCAGTCACCTCCCACCCCTAATGGACATAGAAGGCACTTCTTTGTCCAAATCCAAAGTCTTTATCTTTATCCGAAGGGTTGTGGGGGTAGGGAGCAAGCTGCCCCGCGATGTGGCCGAAGCCGAGACGCTGGCTGGCGCCAGTCACCGGGCGCTCTGGACCTCTTGACTAACGGTGCTCAACACGGAGCTCGGCCCAGCCGCCCGCCTGCTGAGAGCACCCCAGAGCCACGCCAGCGGTCAGTCCCGCCTGCCCTTACACTTGTGAGGCACCGCCCTGTCCTGGGTCCTCAGGCGGCCCTGGCCGTCGGAGAGCGGCCAGCCCGACCCCAGGCTCTCCTCGCTGTCGTTGAGGGCGCGGCGAGACGGCACCAGCGTGAACAGGTTTCCCTGGGGACGCCGAATCCTGGGGAAGGTCCTTCGGCCTTCAAGGGAGGAGAGGAAGAAAGTTCAGGGCCCTGTCCCCTTCTTCCAACAATCACATTTGCTAATTCCTTTCTCAATTTTCCATTCTTTTACTGATTTCTTCCTTACTTGCCCTCCCTCTCCATCTGTCTCCCAGATTTCCAGCTCTTTGGACCCTGTTTTGTACGTCCCCATACCCATTATCATTCTGTGTTTCGGTCTCTTGAACCTCATATTTTGGCTCTGTCCCTCCCTCAACCACACACCTGAAGAGGATCCAACCCAGTCTCCATCTGTTGCTTTGCAGCTCTCAATCATAAAAAACCTACAAAAACCATTTCTAGCATCTTCTATATTAATATCATTTCACACAGAATTTACAGTATTTATGTATATATGTATTGACTTTGTAGTTGTGCTGTTAAAACCAACAAGAGTTTGCTCTTGTTGACTCTGAATCTGCTCTAAGGGCTGTTAAACTGTTCCTATTACATTTGAATTATGCAAAACGATAAACAAATGAGAGCTGCTCTAGACACTTCAAAAAGTGGAATTATAAATACAGATAGGGTAAGAGGGGCACAGTTCTTATTTGTAGAGCAAACTGTGAAGAACAGGCAGATATCAAAATATTATTAAGCGGATTACGCTTGAGTTTAACAATAACAAGGTAGCTGCGTTTACAACAATTTTCTTTCAATTCCTTCAGCTGCACTTAGCATTTTAAAAAACAAGTCTCGGTTCAGTGGAGTGCTACATTCAAGAATAAGTCTTTAATCATGGTCAAGCTCCAGAGTATCTTAAGTGACCCCTAAGTGCCGTTATGTAAGCTTATGCCTTCAGGCTATCCCAGACTTCAACAGACAAAATACAAGAGGAAATACTTTCCCCAGCTTTGTGGAACCTGGTATCATAGGACACAGTCACTTGCTACTTTTAAACTTAAAAAAAAAAGTTCCCTAAGTTCTTACTTGGTAATTATACATCATACGTGCTTCTTTTCAAAATGCTGTACATTGACAACACTTTATATATACACACACAAACAGATTTCTTGAAAATTGGCATTACTGCTCGTCTTAATTGCCTCCCAAGACAATCCAACAATGTTCTGCCTCCTGTTATGAAGGATGCAGTTCCTTGGCACACTAAAACTAACAACTTGAAGATGAACATCTGCTGTCTTCGTGATTTTATGAGTCACAGCTTTACAAGTATTCTCTCAGTCGGTCACCACTGTTTTACTGACTTTACCTCAATCTGAGGGTGACAGATGTCGCTTACTGGGTCAACATCACAGTCATATGGAAGGCTGGTGTGCAGACACTGTACCTTCGCTGTGGTCCTTGTGCTGCATGGACACGTGGTATCGCCGTGGGTAGGTCCCGCCTTTGCCCACTTTGTCATAGATGTGGTTCTCTCGGTCTGTGTTGGGGGGACAACATTATTATTTAGGCCTCTGCCCAGCACTTGTGCAGATACCGATACCGTGAAACAACACGCCTGACTCTCTCCGACATCTTCTAAACACTGGCTCACGCAAGAAAAACAATAATCAAAGGGAGAAGACTGCAACACATTTAAGATAAGAAGAGGCACTTCACTGTGACTTATCAGGTTTTGCATGAATTCGTTATTGACAGGCCCTTTCTGAAGTACTGATGTCCATTCAGGACACTTGGAGTATGAGCTTTCAATTGATAAGCAGTTTCAGATGGAATACAAATATTCCATAGCAGCAGGGGTATTAAAGATATTACCTTTCTGGTGAGGGACTGAGGCACCTTTTGGCTTTTCTGCCACCTGAGTAACTTATTTGGCAAAATGTCTGATGAATAAAATTCAACCGTTCTTTCCCGGCCTGCCACTATTTCCAGGACCTTTGTGATGTTGTGCGCTGGTATCACCTGCACAGACTGTTTTACTAGTGCCCTGCAGCACTCACCTGCGTACTCCTGCCTGTTGTCTGGATAGCTCTTGGCTCGGTACATCCGGGATTTCCGAAACGAAGGGCTGCAAGACAAGTAATAAGACAAAGAATGGTAAATACAAGATCACCAGTATTCACAGACCTGCAGAAAGCCTGGCTAAGTCGCCTCTTGTCAAGGAAGTAATCTCTTCAATTAAGACAACTCTGGTCCCTGAGGGCTGAAAGATATTTACTGTAGATTTTACTCCTAAATAAGCTCTAAACTACTGAACCTAAGAAATCACTTGTTTAATTCATCACAATGCAATCGTTTCAGATCTTTAGAAGTCATAGATTTAATGGTGCCCTACAAACCCGGCAGGACTGGGCTCTCTGGGCCCAGGCTTGGAGATCTCGGTTCTAGCACTACTACTAGTGACACAAGGACACTAGAGTGAAAATGGAAGGCTCTTCATTACACAGTTTGGTAGGCGGTCTGGGGCAAACAATCCAGCTGACACAGATTCTTTTCTCTTCTAGGGTAGGAATTCCCTAAGCATGAACACATTCCTTATAGCTTTGACACCTAGACCTGATCTGCCTCTGGACAGAATGCTGTGGGAGCTGTGCAGCTGTAGCTCAGCTGGCAAAGGCTGGCCAGTCGCAGCTATACCCAGGAGACGGCACTGGTGAGGTGCTCTCACAGGTGTTTAATCGGACTCGGGTCGTAATTCTAGCATTGGTCCACTCTGCGCCAAAGGCATTCTTGAGTGACAATAATCCCTACCCACATTATCGACCTTCCAGGTCACTGGACAGGTTGGCTTTGACAAAACATTCACTGTGATTTCTTCATACGAGACCTTTCTATCAGGTCTATCAAGAACAAAACTGTTTTCCCTGGTAAATAAAACACTCCCCACTCTCTTTGAGGCTTTCTCGGATGCTCTTTGGCCCATAGAAGAGAACAATTTTGTCTCCACTGTCATTGTTATCACTGAACGTCTGTGTGGGAATTCATCTTGTTGTATCCACTGTAGTCTAATTACCATTAGTCAGACAGATCTGACCGATGTGACAATCGTGAGTCAGTGGTGTGGTGACCCCCTACTTTCTAGAAATCTCCCTAGGAGAACATTTCTCCATTTCCTGGTTTCTCTGGAATAGTCTGTTGACCAAAGCAGAACGTTTAATTTTCTGGGTCACTTTTCTAACAGACCAGCCACCTTAAGTCATGTCTACAGCAAATGTGATCATCTTTCCTGAAGCAGAGTGTGTTTCTATCTTTCATTGGTCTTGAATTAATTAAGAGCAAGTCTTTCTGAATTCCTATTTGTACAGATTCCTAATCTACTCCTTTTGGCCATTTCAGCCCATGACAAATGCGAATGCTGAGCAGCTGGCATTTCTATAAAATCCCAGCTCAATATTTTGTTATCCTCAGCATCAATAACACTCAACCAATCACCAAACCTATCTTGTTCACTATTTAAAATGTAAATGACATTATGTAACGTGTTATTGATGTAAGACTTAATTGGTGAAAGAACACAGCTCTTAGTCACAGTGATGAATAAAGCCTGAAAGAAATGGACTTTTAGCCGTCTCTAGGGGTCTGTCTTTATTTTTGTTGAGCTGCGGTGGTTGGATTAAAATGTTCTTTTGGAACAGATGGTTCAGTTTAATAGAATGTCGAAATAAAACAAAAAGCACAGAAAGAAAGTGAGTGGGTACAGTGTAATGTAAGCAGAACTTTTAATTCAAACCTGTTTGGAGGTTTCAGATTTCAAGCGTCATGTCTCCAGTCCTTGAAGGGACCTGTTTTTTCAATTCCCCATTTGCATTTAATTCTCCACTGTGGTTGCAGTTTAACTGGGAGCTATCAGGTTTGCCCAATTTATTTTTTTAATGAAAATAACACTGCCTGGCTTGCAATTAATTACACTGCAGTAAAATGTAATTAAACTATATTGGATGCAATATATCACTGCAAAGCCAGACAGCACACTGGACCAAGCACGGTTTTATCGGTCTTTTCAAGCTTCTTGCAGTAAAATCTCCAAAATATTCTTGGACTCTGTAGGGACGTGTCTGTTTCTACAGGAGGCTTTCCCCCTTGCTCACAAATGGGTTTCTCTCGACATCCCAAGTGTCTCAACCAGTAAAGCCTGCGGTTGCGGGTTCGAGCCCTGCGGCCCCCTGGCGCTTGCAGGCATGTGGTGCCGTTGATGAGGGCGCACCTCTCCCCACATCGGCGCTGAGCGCTGAACACACCATTGGCTATTCCAGTTCTGGTGGGTAAGACAAAAAAAAAAGAACTGGGGATTCTACGTTTAAAGAAAACAAGGACAGATACTTGGCTGCCTAAAGCTCGTGGGGTGAGCTCCTGCTATTCGCTGAGGAGCGACACAGCCATGAAAGAGGTCAACCTGGAGACGCCAGCCCCCGAGCTCTTCAGCCTTTCGCAGTCCGCCGAGGCTGACCTCACACCACAAAGCGCCCTTCCCACAATCAAGGCAAAAACCGCGCCAAAGTGACAAAGAGGGTCTCCTCGGCGCCCTGTAACATGCTACAACAGGACAACAGAAACTGTGTTTAATATGCAAGTGCTCCGCGAACAACCCAGTGTGAGCCTTCGGAGCCCCCGTCTTACCTGTCAGCACTGCTGTCCAGGGACTGGCAGCTCCCAGACACTGAGTTCTCCGCACTGCTCCAGGGATCCAGAACCTGGCAGGGGGGACAGAGAGCCAGCACTCATCACTAACACTCCTTTTGGGAAGGCACCTCCAACAAGGGGTCGTCATCATTTGTTAACCAACCTGGCGCTACAACCCAAGCAGAAAGTGATGAAGACCTGAAACCATGCAGCGCTGTTACCCCCTCTTTACACTCTGGTGCCCCCGAGTGCCCACGGCTCAGGTAAATCGTGAGCGCAGTTTGTCCTCCAAGCCAAAGTGAGCCACTGCTGTTGACTGGGCGAAGGACACAATGTGACTAACTCCGAGTCGGCTGATCAGATCAAGTTTCTTTGATGGAAAGATACTGGCACAAATGACCAAGCAGCATTTTACACTTAAAAACAAAAACACACAGCCACTGCCTGGCCAGGCAGTAATACAATAAACACACTCAAAAAGCGCACATTAAAATCTGAATAAAACATTTCCAAGGAACAGGAAAGACACCAACTTGAGACTCAAGCCTCTGTTCACCTCGTCTTTAAGACGAAAACGAAGTAACATTCCGTCACTACGGGTCAGCTGCACTACTGGAGCTCACATTGGCTGCAGCTGGCAATTCAGAACCAGGGGCAGGCAGCCCCTCGGAGTGGACATGTGCTTTTCTACAGGCTCTTGTTTCCTCTTGACACGCGATGCCAATCTGTTCTATTGCACAGAAACAAAAATAATGCTTCACACTAAGCAGGATTTTCCTCAGATTTGCAGAAGACAACCAGCTGCCTCTATGAAAGTTAAACACTTGTGTAATGAAGAGGGCAATAAAAAGGGGCTCTTTCATTTTCACATAACAAAGCTGCCAGCTATGGTGATGGAGCAGTCCTTCTGTGCATCTCCCAGCGTGACTTGGCAGCTTGAAGGGGGCGGGGGGAGACAGTCAAATGACAGGAAGTTGAAAGCCTTGTGCCTGGCAGGGGGAGTGGAGGTTGTGAGTCTTTGGCCGGAGCTCACTCTGATTCACACTGACACGCTGTCTCCCGCGTACTATTTCCAGCCAGTCAGATAGCATCTTCAGCCTACATTAGAACAGGAAACACAGGAAAAAGCTACACTGCTGCTGCTGCAAAAAAAAAAAAAACCCAGCAGGGCTGATAACGGTGTCCGCAAACTCTTTGCAGAACGCTGCCCTTGCCCCAGCGTGGGGTTTGCTCACCTCTAGCCCTGCTGGGGACTCTCAGCTTCTGCTCCCTGGAGCAGCTGTACAAATACCAAACCTGGATCGCCGACCCAAATTTAAATCGTCGACTTCATCACGGTAATCACACTTTCACTGTCATATACCATGTTCTCATGCACTTTACTGCAATAAACTCAAAAAAGCATTCATCTGTAGAGAACACAGCATCTGAAGCAGATAGGCAGTCCTCTCCGTTCTTATCCGTCACTCGGATTAATCTTGCTGTATGGTCTATTGGGCATTAGAGGAAACACAATGCAGATTTGCTGCACTATAGCCGCCTTGAAATGAGCTACTGTTAATGGAACAGTCCGTATGGACAGCAGCAGTCTTACCAGAAACAAGACCCCTTTGAATCAGGCAATGGAACAAGAGACGAGCAAAATAACAGGAAAACCTCTCTTGTTCCCATGGTACCACACAGATTTAGTCAGGTTGTATTAATAGATGTGCATGTTTACTGGAATGGCAGAAGCCTTTTTTTTCCCTTTTTTCTTTGACTGCCTTTGAAAGCAATGAACAAACCAGGGAAAGCAGGAGGGATCATTTTTCCAAATAAACAAAGCTCTCGGAAAGAATGACAATTATGTCCTGACCTCCGGAATCATCCAACACGAGCGAAACTCTTTCCAGCGATCCGACAACTTGCACCCTCCCGGCAGTGCTCTCACGCGTGGCACGGGACATGTTTATCGGAGCAGGGGAGCGGACAAATCAAACTGCTGACCAATTCAATATCTAGAACCCTTCTTGCAAAAGGTTCGACTTGTTCTTTTCAATACAGTCCCCTTGTAGTTTTCCTTCTTGAAAACTCTAAAGATGCAGTTTTTAATCTGTCAGTGTAGTGTGGGATTTCTTTAAGACTGAAAATGTGACTGTTCACTCTTCTCTGCACTGATCTCAGAGTAGAAAGATCTTTCATGTCACATGGTGACCACAACCAGACTCAATACTCCCAACATGTTCTTACTAGTGTATTAAAATGAACATTCTGCAATTTGAACTATATATCTTAACTCCATTTAATATTTTTTATTGTTACACCTTGAGATGTCTAGAAAAGAAAAATAACATCAACATAAACATGCACGGAAGTTTAATGTAATACTCAGCATTTTGTACAGTAAATCATCATCTGACAGGAGTTTGCCTAGTCACCCTAATTAGAGCATTTTTCCTCATCAATACTCTTTTCTACCCATTAAACAGTTTACAATTCTAAAATACGCATTCCAGTCTGAATAATCAAAAATCTTTTGAAAACTGTAACCAATCATCAAAACGCTTTTGCTCAGATTTATTAACGTGGGGTGCCTAATGTGGATAGATATGGGGTTCTATGCGATTACAAAGAGATTCGAATCCAAAAGATTAAAATCATTGTTCACCGAGATGAGAAGAGACATTTTCTTTGCTCCCCTTCCATCTTTGGAGTCTTACATGCATGATGTAATGAGGGCATCTTTCTAGCATTCATGCAACAGCTTATTACTCGTCTACAAAAGCTCCTTGTGTTTGAGAGAAATGCTGATTCATGCTTCTATTGCTGAGAAATTGACTCACACTGCCGTTTCTTGCACCACGGTCTACTATAATGTTTTCTTGGCTGGCGTCTCAAACGACATATTAGAACAGATTACAGTATGTGCAGATGTCAGCTGTTGGGATTTTAACAAAACCTGAAGCAATCTAATTTAGCGTTTGATGGAAAAAAAAGAAATAGCTTTTTGGGGTTCCGGTGAATGAAATAAAAATAATAGTTTGCATAGCGCAGGAAACTTAAGGTTGTGTTTCAAGGTTTGAAAGAGACCACTCACAGGAATCTTCACCAACATAACAGCTTTGTCTAGTGAAATTTGAAATGTGTTCCTGGAGTCTTTTGTGCATTTTCTGATCCAGTTTATTTTGTAGGTGCTTTAACCCATCACCCCTAGCTGTAACTAGGGGTGGCGGGATTCCTATGAGTCTGCAATACTGTCAGTGAGAGGTCAAGTCCTCCACTTAATTCCTTTAATTTGTATAGCGTCTGTCATCCATAACGATCTCACAGCACTTTAATTACTGGAGGGGACTCAGCAACAAGAGCGCCACTTGCAGGTCTGCCAGTAGCCTTGGAGGATTCCCAACCCTGCGTGGCTTCTGCGGTCAGCTGGGGTACAGCTATGCTCACGTGCCCAGGGTTTCACAGCAGGACAGGGACTGAGCGTGCCAGGGGCACATTAGGTGCACAAATCTGCCTTGTTCTGGGCTATTCCGATACGAAGCTGTGCCCACTGGATCAGGTTTCTGAACACCCGGCAGATCCAAAGCAAAAATCCGAAAGAGAAGTACACACGCAGGCGGGAACTCACACACTGGTCGCTGGTCTCGGGGATGAACTCGCCCTCGCTGTTGATGCTGGTGTAGGAGCCCTGCCTGGCGATCCGCTGCTGTCTCTCCGGGACATAGCCAGGGGGAGGCGAGCTGCGGCCGGTGTTCTGGGAGCCTGTAAGGTACGTAGTTACACTTCACTTTGCACAGGTGTTTTAGATGTGCTATACATTTGCAAACTGTGCTTTAGGACATAGGCTCCATGTGGTTTAGAAATACACAAATGTATCGGTCTCAAGATCTATAATCAGAAGCACCAGCAATGAGAGCATCAGAAGAATGCCCAACCTCTCTTCTGACTGGCCTGCACTGCCTCAGTTTCCTACCAGAATCTCCATACTGGGAGTCAAGTTGCTGACAGTATACATATTGCTACATGGTGTATATCCTCAGTAGGTTTTAGCTTCATCATACCTTTTTGAATGTTTAAAATCCTTCAAAACTGAAAGATATATAACATGCATGGAAACTGACATATTATTATTAACATTTTAACTATTTTCTTTCCCTGCTTAGCCATTTAACCTTTAAGCCGGCCCACTGAATACACAGGGTTCCATTATTTTGTGATTCTGCCTGCCCTGACACCATTGTTTGAAATTTTAATCACAATCACACATGCACCAAAAAAAAAAACAACAATCCGAGCTTTCACAAATCTAGATGGATGTTGAACAATAAGAAACTTCCTGAATCGACTCCAAAGCCTTTACAGACAGCCGGTCTAGACTGTGAAAAAAAGAAAATCGCTCATGACCTGCATGCTCCCGACTCTGCATTCTGCGTTTTTTTTTAAACTTTCACTTTTCTCCAGACCCCCCATCTCTATCCCAGAGCCTCAGTGCAACAGGCACTGCATGCTAACAGCACTGGCAATCTGATTGGCCAGCCTCCAGCAGCTATTGTAGCGCTGCTAGTGATGGTGAACAGGAAAACGGAAGAGGACCCACAGTGCAGCATATCATAGGAAGCGAGAGCAAAGCCAAAGACCGAGAAAATGAGATTTACACTTCCATTCAGTTTCGATCCCTACACTCCTGAAGAAGGCTCAACGGCAGCATACCGACTGAAATATAAACCTTTGGTCTGGAAAACATTATAATAATTAATAATTGCTTACACTTATATAGTGCTTTTCTGGACACTCCACTCAAAGCGCTTTACAGGTAATGGGGACTCCCCTCCACCACCAGTGTGCAGCCCCACCTGGATCCTCCATTAAACACGCTTCATAAAGAAGGGCCAGCTCAATGTTTCGGCTGCCAGCAGAATCATTTTTTAAATATTGTGCTACAGAACAGTACAGTCTTGAGAGAAAACAAGTGCACAAATAAACCAGTTTGATTACTCCAGTTTCAACTGGATTCCACATGTTCTACAGATCGGGGCTATTCTTGGAAATCCACAGGAAGTCATGCCCTCTCATGATCCAGATCGCAGAGCAGTCAGATGCTGGCAGTCAGAGAGAGGGAAACTATACTCGTATCTCCCATATCTGTCAAAGTACAGCGGATGCCACTTATTGTCACTGAGCATTTGTGGCAATGAACTTAGGTCACAGACCTAAGACCTCCTGCAGAGGAAGCACCGGCTACTTCAGTCATCAATACAAACACATGCAGCAGATCTGGACTAAATGGACAACTAAAAAAAAGGGGATTTTACTTACTGGCTGAGAGGTGGCGCCCCCTGGGCTCGGAGGACTGGTACACTGTGTTGACGTCGCCCACTGACTGTGACGCCTTGATGCGCACCTGTTTGCATGGGCTGGCGTGCGATGGGGATGATGCCTGGGGAGGAGGACAGTCGTTAGAACTGTTAGTTTTGACCAAACGGACCCAGATTAGTAGCTAAATTCCAGCGGAGCTGCCAGTTCCACATTGCAAACCAACGTCACCTACCGGGGACTTTCCATTGCGTGGATGCCAAACGTTCTGGCACATAGACAGCCACTTCTATTTTTCGAACTGATTTTTTCATATTTTGCACCTTCCCAATGTGACAGCGCCAAATGTTTTAACAACATCCCGCCTTCCAGCACTGATTCTTGGGCAGCAGAGGGAGGATGTGGATGTTGCAGACAATCCTCAATCCTCTCACCCACTGAGCCACTCATCTGTTGACACTATTCTAGCACCTCAGAGACTTCAGAGGCGTCTTTTGCTGCCCAGGAGTCACTGTCAGATCAGAAGCACTGGATTGACTTTTCATGCAGTCCAAGACGCACATGCTGCAAATACTTTTAAGAGGTCTGCAAGGTCTTCTTAAATAAAAAAGTGTGAAAAATGTTCGGGTGTCAAAAACTGGAGGCTACCTTTCCCACTTACAGGCCTGTAGCTACAGTAGCTCCGGTCGCCTTGTCCCAAACCAAAGCGTTTATTTTTTCTCTGTGCCCAAAGGCCACAATGTGCGTCCTGTCTAGTTGTATAGCAGCCTCTCAGTGACATCGATTTGTGAGCGCCGCCCTCCCAAATCCCAGCATTCTCTCATTTAGCAAATAAGTCGAGTGAGTCGATTAAGTAAAGAAAGCAAGCAAGTAAAGTGAGCGAGTAAGCAAACCAAGTAAAAAAAGCAAGAAGATATTTCTGAGATCCAGAACTGGGAAGTACTGTGCTAATCCATCCAGCACAATGAACTTGAAACTAGTGAGTTGTGAAAACAACAAAAAAGCCTAACAATGCGAGTCCTTGTTGTTACCAGGCTTGTTTTTTTTCTTCAATTTCAAACAATCATGGCTCTTTTTTAGAAACCGAGGGCTCCAGTGTGCACATCCTGTATTGGAAAGCACAGCTGAACAGGGCTGTGTGCTGCGGCCTGCTGTGAGCCGGGGGAACAATGGCCACATGACTGAGCTCAGACAACCAAAGAGAGAGCTGCTGCAGACACATAAATCTGTCTGCGACAGACCCCTCTCCTCGTCATTTCCCCTCCTGGGCCAGGAGGCCATGGAAACCAGATAAAAATCAAGGCAGCCTGAAACATCTTTACTTTTTTGTTTTCTGTAGTGATTTCATCATGAGCTCTCTGTGCGCAGAGAGCATTTTTAAGCTGCAGTTGCTGCCACAGCTGGATTTTAACTGCCATTCCGCTCCTCCATGGTCAAGAGGTATTATATATACAAAAACAATCCCTTCCTATAGCTTCCTGCTCTTCTACAGACTTTCCATAGGGGAGTTTTTATGGAAGAGGTTGCAGATTTTTGTTTTAATGCTGCCTTCGAGCAGTTAGAATATGTATCATGTAAACAGATCTGGACTTGGGTGCAGCACAAACAACTAAGCGTATGTTCTAAAATCCTCTTCTTAAAAACTTCTACACATCAATAAATTAACAGGCTTCCAAGCAAATGCCTTTGCCGTAAAATGACTATAGTAAAGCACTGTGGCTGCAAGATGTCTCTGGCAGTACTGGCTTGCAGCGCAGACCGTGTATCGATTGTACTGAAGACAATACAGGGGCAGAAAAGGTCATTCTCATTAAGAAACCCCCATTTTGCCATACTGGAGACAGAGTGGGAATAAAATGTTTCACTGAAAAGTGTGAAATGCCAGTCTGTAGCAGGTCAGACTGTCAACTATACCTGCGTCATCTCCAAAGATTGAGGAAGTTTGAATTTTTAGAAAAAACAAGGCTTGCTGCCTTGCTTAACAAAGAACCCTACATCACTCTACTTACATTTTGCAGAGGTCTGATGCACAGAACAGTCTTGAATGGACAAATTTTCATATTCCCAAGTGCCTATACCATTGCATAATGTACTACGGTATACAGTATGTATGTTTAAAAGGTGTAAGTAAACCTCTATTATAGGATTATATATAATTAAAGTACTAATACATTGGCTTTAAGTTAAATAACATTGATCAACTAAAAGGAACATCAGTAATTACAAGATTAGAGCTGTCAGTTAAAATAAGCAACGTGAATCCCTCCTGCAACGTGAAGTCCAGCCTGCACTTTCTCTCTGTGCCTCCATGATTAGCACGCGCCGCTCCACGGTAACGAGCCCGCAGAGCCGCCCCCAGTCTGTCGCTCCCCACACCGCTGACAGAACCTGAAGCGTCCGCTACAGCACAAAACAAGACCACGCCGAGATGCAGATGCTGGGGAGCGAGTTCTTAGGCAGGGAGAGGCTCACTGGATTCAACTCAAGATTCTGTATTGAGCAGCTAACCTGACAGTTGCAGTTAAACCTTCAGCTTGATTTTATCTCGTTCTGCTTTTCTTTCATCTAAGACCCCATCTGCCAGACCAAATTGCAAAGAAGCAAAGCTGCACATGTTAAATTTACAGGTGGAGAGACCCTACTGTATCGATTATTTATCAATACAATTCAAAATAACCCAAGGCCACCATTCCTCAAACGAGACCTAACACATGTGTACATAAAGAAGGGGACAGAGTGATGTGTGAAACAGTATCAGGAATTCAGAAAAACTCCAGACAGTGACCCCACTCACGTGGTTTTGTTCCTGCATCAATAACAGGATCTTAATGCTCTTCATGTTGGAGCTCCGGTCCAGCAGATCAATGGCCTTGTCCAGGTCGTCTTGGCTTCGCAAGGGAATTGACAGCTGCACGTGACAAAAAGTATCCAAACACAGAGGTCAGATTCAGCTCATGTGGCATCAATCCATCTGTTACTGACAGACATACAGGGGTGGGAGTTAACAACTGTTCAGGCAATAACTACAGGCAGGTAATATCACTGCCAAGCTCAGATTGTCAATGTAAGAAGCAGGTCAAGTGTATTTCATTCTCAAGATGCAGTGAAATCATGTAATAACAGTCTCCCTGAATGGGGTAACATTTTGCACCCTTAAACAATTCTGCAAAAAAATATAATATTGCTAAGAAAGAGAAGCAAACCTGGAAGCTTTTAGAAAACACAGGCCTAAAAGAAAGTCCAACTGGCATACTGACCCAGATCCCAGCTCATACCAGGCCCAGTAACAATGAAACGTACCTCATTGTTCATGTAGTGTAAATCCAGCTGCTGCCCAAACACAGTTTTGACCTTCTGCTTCACCTCCTCGTACTGCACTGGCCTGGCGAACATGATTATTCTGGAAAATGCAGGGAGAAGGACAGCTTACACGAGGAGCAGCAGGGCGGCACCACTGAACTGAACTACACACAACCGTAACACAGGCTGGGCTTTTCTAAGAGGACTTCAAAACAAACACTTCCAGGGAAGGAGAGGCCAGAGAGGCCTAATCTAGGCTTGTCATCCGAATACAGGAGGGAGAAAGCCAAACACTACCACACATTCTTATGTGAGTCGTGAATACACTTATGGCACAGGGGAAAAATACTGTGAAATGCCCAAGGCGTGCAAGATTTGAAGCAATCTTTTAAAGAGGATTAAAATGATATCCTGTCTAGCCAGCCTTCCTATCTAAGTTTTCCTAACCTCTAATTTTTTCTGATGTCTTGCCTATTCTCCTGTCTCAGTATCCCAGTCCTTTCCCTTTTTTTAACTGAACTGCTCTCCTAAGATGATGGGATATTTCCTGCCTTACCATGATTCTGACATACATTGGTAAGTTCACATTGTATTTGTTGATCTGCTTGTAAACTTCTACAACAAAACTAACAAGAACTGTGCTACTCGGTAAATCTGTAATACCATCTTTGAATGCATCTTGTACTGCCCACTGTGGCTTTGCTTACGTTTACTGGAACTATAATTGAAACATGGTTTTATCTCTGTATAAGCATCACTGGAAAAAAAAAAAGTGTACAGTATATTACTGCAAGCAACGCTAAATTGGTAACATGGCAATAAAGAGGCTCCTGATTCCATACAAACGGGAAAAAGGGAGGACACTTCTACTCGTTGACATGCTGCACCACCTGCACAAGGCGCAATGAAGATTTCAATGTTGAAACTTTGTATTTTGCAAAACACTCTCTCTCAAAACCATAGTGAGCAGTTTTGGGTGCGAAGCCTTTACCTGCCCCCACCCACAGGAAGTCAGAACTTCACGGACAACTTGCCTCGCCCTTGCTGAGGGTAAACTATCCATTCCACGCTAGACATGACCTGGACTTGTGGGTTGAAAGCCCAGCTGGGACACTGCTCTTATACCATTGGGCCAAGTCCTTCACCCAGACTGCGCCGAGAGTATAAACAGCTAAACATGCAGGTTGCTCTTGAGAAAACCGACAAATAATACTAACTAGACTTGAAGTTGTCAAGCCAACTTTTTTCCTCTTCTACTCCCAGAAAAACACGGCACCTGCCCTCCAATCCTCAACCCTCGATCTGGGAAGCTTTCCGATGGGGACGAGATCCGCCTGAGGGGGCGCGCATGTCCGCAGAGGGCATGCCAGAGCTCCACGCCACCTCACACAGCGACCACTTCTGCGCGTGAGGGCAGATGAGCGATAACGGCTGTAGTGGGTTTTTTACTTTTGGAACTCGAATCAGGATGTGAACAATGGAAAGAAAAACCACAGGCCAGTAACTTCTAACAGCTGCCGCGGCGCGCAGGGAGGTGAGCTGGTCTTCATCGCCTTGGGCGGCTCGTGGCAAGGTGGGCCCACGCGGGGAACAGGAGCCAGCGGAAACGGCGGCGAGCGTATCAGCCCTCAGCGAGGCCTGGCCTGGTCGGAGCAGCTCTCGGGAAAGGGCCCGCCCCTCCTAGCCCACCGCGCATTTCTGTGGTTTTCTCCTGGCAGGCAGGGAGAAACCACAGCCCCTATCCCCTTCACTGTGGCTGAGGGGCCAGCAGCCCCACGTGAGCGCGCGTAAACACGCACGCACACACAAAGACCAGAGCTCCAACCAGACAAATCTCCTTCCTTCCGCTAAACAAAGAATACGGATAAGAGCGCCTTCGTTTTACACTGTGCTTTTGAGCCTGAAGAACAACGAAGTGCTTTCGAGAATGGGACTGACTGAAGCAGATTTCTGCCAAGGCTAGGTGGTTAGTCTCTCTTTCAAACAGAGACACGTGGCAAATGATATAAAAGTGAAAATAATATGATGGGGCACCTCCACACGAATTGTCAGCCATCAACAAGAAACCTGACAATGTAGGCAATGTCACTGATACAGTCATGGAGAACAGAAAGAACAAACCTGCAATATCATCAAAATCAGGCGGTTCACTTTCTGGTTATTCTACATATTACAAAATGAGGAACACTTACCTTCTCTCCCCGTTGTATTCAAACTTTATTCTTACATCATCCTACACAGACAGACAGAGAGGACACATGAGTTCAAGCTTTCCCTCTACAGAACATGACAAGTGAAACACCAGCAATCCCAAAAGCTTTCTACATTGCCAGGCTTCAATAACTGTTGCCCTTTATACTCTGCTGAAGTACACAGAACACAGCGAACCACATCCAGAGTCTCTGCACGGATTCTACAGCAAACTGCTGCTTTGTCTTATCTTAACAAGACATAACGCTTGGTTTTTGTATAAGCTGCCTTTTGCCATCTGAAAAAGACAGCACTGTCCATTTTTAGCATAAAAGCAGAACATGCAATGTAAACATTGTGAAGATTTCTTTCACAAGCAGATAACAAAAGTCAAGAAGCACCAAAGATCAACACCTGATCATTGCTATTGGGTGTAAATACTGTAGCAGTTTCTGCATTGTAGCTCAATGGTTCAAACGCCCAACTCCTACCTTCAGGTAGGACACGTCACGTAAGCCCAATTAGTGAAGCGGCTTCTCGCTTTCCCCCGATCTGGCATGTGGTGGGGCTGCTGGCACGCAATGCCTGGCGTACAGCATGTCTCCCGAGTAGGAGCTGCATGTCAGTGGGGCAAAAAGTGGTTCCCCTCCGTGTAAAGCGCTTTGATTCACGGGATGAATCAGGCAATAACAGGAGCTGCTCTGACCTGTCTGTTGGACTGGCTTGAGGCCTTGCTCTTCCCCATCTCGTATCCCGAGAGGGCCTGCCGTCTGGACATCTGCAAGGCCACCAGGTCCTTCATGATGGAGTGCAGGGCTTGTCGCTCGTCTGAGGTGGAGAACGGAAACGGTTAGCAAACCACTAGGCTCTTCAAGTCACAGAGAGCCCATAACCTTCCAGGTCCTGGGAGACAGTCTGTTCACGTTTCTCCAAGAAAGTTGTTTCAGGTGCTTGCTGGAAAGCTGTTATTCTGGATCTGTAGGAACATATATAGGTTTATTCTATGCTGAAAGAAAAAAGAAAAGAGACAACGTTTCGGCTGTAAAGCCTCATTCAGCTGTGGCCCTTCCAGGTGTTGACATGTGAAGAAGGCTCTACAGCCACAACATCGTCTCGTTTCCTTTCAGCATGCAATAAACCTTTCCCTGTTCCTCTGCAGCCTACGCATGCTGACACAGCTCCCTACTCTGATATTTAGGATATCAACAACAGAGTTGTTCATTAGTCTCTTATTTTCATTATTTTTCATTTTACACCCACAAACTTTGGAACCACCAATTGCTAATCCCTGATCAGCCCCAACTCATCACTAATTTGTATTAATTGAATGAATTTGTTCTGTGAAACATTGTCAAGCCCAGGATATGTATATTCAGTGTGAACCCTAATGTATAAACTGCAGAGCTCAACAATCAAGCAGAGATCAATAATCAAAGACTGATGAGCAACACTAACGGTTCACAGTTAGCACCAGGGGTTGCTCTTGTACAGCATACCAAAGAATCCTGGTAAATTCTGAACACATCAGACTTCTAATGAGCGAATCAGCGATTTCTGAGTTGTGAGATGAGTGCTTCACAACAATTACTTTAAGCAGAAATAACTGCAACAATATCGCCAAGTCACTACTGAACAATGTTAGTCTTCAGCGTTCATTCCTTCGATTCAGGCCTGCAATTTCAGTGAGCAAACATCTATGATGAGAAACGCACTCAGTCAAGGACAAGCAGGGCACAGCAGGAACGAACACAGAACGATACAGACGAGCACAGGCCACTGGGCCCATCTTGCCCATTTGCTAGTAAGCAGCTCACTTATCACAGGGTCTCATCAAGATGTTTCTTGAAAGAAGCCAGAGTATCTGCTTCAACAAAATGACTGGGAAGCATAAACTGGTCTCCCAGAACCTCGTCTTCTGCAGATGTGCTGTCTGCAGATGTGCCGTCTTCTGGGAAATGGCTTTCAAGACAGTTCTCCCCATGTGCACATTTGTGCACTGTTTTGCAAGAGGGGAACTACAGCAGAAGTTTGAATATGAATGTCATAATCTCTATTTCCAAAAGGTAGCCATTTGACCTTCAAATGAAATTATTACTCCACCTGCACTTGAACACCAGACACAAACATAAAATAGACATTGTTTAGCAAAGGAGAATAAAACATAACTCGTTTCCAAATGACCTTTCTCCAAATGAAGTTGGGAACACAACTCCAAGTACATGCTGTATTTCCCTCATGTAAACCCAGCAGGAAGACAGAAAAAAATCTCTCCCTGCCTGTGGTTTGTTTCTGTTTCTGACTCATTCAGGAACTCCACATACCGGAGGGTTTGTTGGTATAGGTGTTTAACTGGTGAAGGCAAGAGCACAGACCAGCTGTTTGGGAGAGAAAGAGAGAAGGAAACAGAAAAAAGGGAGAGATGTAGAGGGCAAAAGGGTGAGAGAAAGCTGTACACTTCATCAGTTACAACACTTTGGTATATTTGGGTAATTGCCTTCAAATGAAGAAAGAAAAGCAGTTACGGTCCATATTGTAGTAAAATAAATAAATCCAACACTCTTTATAAAAGAGCCGGTTCTTGGAATGTCAAACAGTTGCCCCAACTATTTCTTTTTCTTTCAGGCTCCGATCTCCAGAGAGACGGTTTAACTTAAAACGAAGGAAAAATATCTACTGTGTAGCTTGGCCACACATCACACAGGCGTCGCTGTATAGCGTGCACATTTTCCAAAACACTGAAACATATCCCCTTCTGCTGCTAAGCAAGAGCGACTACTTTCTTCAAATGAGATGTGGATTACTTTCCAAGGATGGAGTCTGGAAGCTGGGAAAATGGAGAGCCTAGCACCAAGGTGTCTGCCTCCAGCTCCAGTCTACCACAATCCTGTGTCATAAAATTGTTGGGAACCATTAAGGATCCCCAACATATGGCATATACAAAATCTTCAACCTGCCTGCCAGTCACAAATAACAAACCTAGAACTCTCTCCATCCAGTAACCATCTGCTATACAACCAGTGAAAATCCACCACTGCATACTGCTGTACAGATAACCTGAACTGGGTCTTTTTCACTTAATCTGAACATAGATTTGTTTGCATTTCTACATTCAGTGGAGATCTGCTCAAGTAACAAACTGTTGCTCAAAACAAAAGCCAGTCTCTGCAGCCCATGTTTTGCAGCTGTAACTAGTAAACAACTCTCATGATCTGACAGAATTATGTTGTCCGTACAGATTTGTGGGAGTTGTAAAAGTATGAACGATTCACTTAATATGCATTTTTAGTTATGCAAGTGCCCAAGAAATTATAATTCAAACAATACTCTTCACCATAAAGTGAGCTATGAATCATTTAATACTAAAGTCTCTCACTGTCTTAGTTTTGCCAGACAAGGGTTAAGGTTGATACATGCCAGGTGAAGGTTTTCTACACTAAAAGACAACACAACAGAATAAATAAAGACGGAGCTCACAGTACAAGTGAATATCCTTGCAGCCGCCCTGCAAACCACACAAATAGCTCAGCCCGTAAAGGACTGTTCTCGGCGCACAGTCAAGACATCACAGGTTCCAATCTGGGCTGTGCCACTAGTCAGCTCTCACTGGGAGCTCCCAAGCAGTGGCTGACAAGGGGAAAGTGGGTACAACCAAAGTACCCCAAGATGTTTCACTAGCTGCTGCAGGAGGAGTCAGGCACATAGCAGCTTCGTGTGCACATGCAGCCAACTCTCAATAAAAGAGAGAGTGGTCATTGCAAAAAAGTAAAAGAAATAATAAGCAGTGAACAATGGCAGGCATCTCACAGCAAACCAAACCTTACAGCAGCTCACCGAGATGCATATTCTCCAGTTTGTCAGGTGGACTGGTTAACTTACTCATTTTGGTAAAGTAGATTAAAGACCCCAGCTGCACTCAGATCTTCAACGACACTGTTCTTCAGCGTCACCCAGCATTACACCAAGATCCTGGAAAACAAAAGTCACATGTAAGAAGAAGTTATTTTGCTTGGTCACTGTAAAAATGATGCTAGTTGTGACCAGCTGTGCTTTTGAAGGTCTGTTAAAAGTTGCTCCAAACTGCTGCTCTTCTGCACAGACCCAGAAAAAAAAATTCTCCTCATTTTTACAGGAAACCAGGAGACACGCCCCTTACATACCTAATGGGATGTACATACCTACTCCCATTACATACCAGTTTGAGTTAAGGTTTCACTGTTTGCTCTTCCACAAACTGTGCCTACGAAGCAGCAAAGGAACATATGAAAATGTGTAGCTTCACGTCTCGCATGCAATTTGACTCCAAAATAAAGAAGCAAGTTTACAATATCCTGCATATCATGAAGTACACGATTAGCCAACGCTTCCAGTAAAGGGGAAGTCTGCATACAGGTCTGCACAAGGAACTCAAGACCCCACGTTCAGTCTGGAGGCCACAGCCAGGGCCCAGGGCTGCCCAGGACTATCAGACTCGAGCTTCAAGTCTAGAATGCGCTGTACTCCCTCAGCGATCGGCCCATCGCACACCAGAACAGGCCTTTCCTCAGCCAGTGTGCAACAATAATGGCAAAGGAGGATTCCCATAAACACAGGCAGCGGGATTTCTGTTAGAGCAGCACTTCTTGGGAAGGGCTGGACGTCGAGGAGAATCACCAAGGGTCACCCAGATTTTCCCTTTCAGAAGACCCAAGATCTCCAACCCCCTCCTTGGACGATGTTAATGCCGAAAATCACAGTCTCGGACTTCACCACACAAGATGCCCTGCGAACGGCGAGCCTTTTCGTCTCAACAAATTCACCTAGACTTCTTACCAGGAAATAACTGGTTCCGATTATTCCATCCGAAGCCAAACCAGGGATCTCAACCCACATCCTCTTAACCCCCCATTCTGAGCTCTGAATGATGTAACTGACCCTTCAAACTCATATTTCACTAACAAGCCTGTCTGTCTGCTTTTATACACTCCTTACCATATGTCACTCAGTCGTTAGAATTAAAAGGCAGTTGTGTGGAGCAGTGGTTAGGCCACTACTAACAAGAAAGCGACATTAGCAAGGACTCAAGACTATCCAGTGTGGCAAATACAAGATGCCACAGCAATATCTTTTTATATTATCACTCCTACTGTAACTTCAGGCACAGCCTCGTTATTAAAGATCATTCCACAATCTGTTGACTTTTCCCATCTGTCCGTCAGTGGCTAAATTGTCCTCGCATTCAAAAGATAAAAGTGAATTTCTTATCCAGGGATTGAGGTAGAACATCCATGTGGCAATAAGAGCTGCTACCTCAGCTCTTATGGTCTTGGTTCTGGATCGGGACACCCGTGTGAAGTTTGCATGTTCCTTTTAACTTTCAAAGACATAGCAGATAGACTTAATGGGATCTCTTAAAGGTCTAGAAGGAAAAGAGGAGAAAGGAAATAACATACCCTGCTTATCAAGAAAACAATACCTTTGTGCCAGTAGCCTGCTGGGTGCTGGGAAAGGTCAGCGCACCGTCTGTGGTGACCACAGATCAGCCAATTCTCACTTGGCAAGACATTACAGGCAAGCAGTCCAACAGTGCCGGGCCACATTCCGGGAGACCATGACTCACAACACGTCTACATGATCAACAAATCACCATCAAGTGCACTGAGCTGGGCAGGAGAGTCTAGCTGCTACAGAAATCTACTTGGAGTAATAGCAACCCGACTTCACAACTACATCGATCTTAATGGGAACCTCACTTACTGCCCTTCCTGTGGACTCATGCAGTAGGATGTAGTTCCAGTAGGACAATACACCTCACATGTTGCTGATGTAACAGTGGCTTCTGATGAGACGAGAAAATGGAAGTTTTGCTCTGGATCCCAGATCCAGTGAACATTTGTGGGAAGAACTGGGACACAATATCACATCTAAGCATCATTGATCAGGGAACAGGCACATGATCTTTTAGGTAAAAACAGAGAAATGGTACAGAATCTCACAAGCCAGCTTCTGCAACCTGCTGCCAAAGCATGCACCACAGATATACAGCTTCCAACAGGGTCAAAAACATGCTACCAGCCTGTGACATTCACAGCAGACCCCTGTTAATGTAACGAATACCACGTCATGCTTATTCAATAAAAAAGTCTGCACAGTCAGGACAAAAATGTCATAGCCAAGACTATAATCATGGCCTCTAAAAACCAGCACTGTCTACACCACTCATACTTCACAATTTACAATTTACTAATACAATGGTATTGTTCCCTGGGTTCTCTATATTAACTATTTACCTAACACTGCACAATAATCTAAAGCAAGACTGATATGTAGTACTTATTACTACATATAGTAAGTTCCACCAAGGAAAACGAGAAAAAAGAAACAATATGATTTACAAGCACAGAAAAATAAAGCTGACAGAAGTCAAGAGAGGTAGGGACTGGGTCACAGTAGTTAGCATTGCTGCCTCAATTCCAGACCTGGGGTGCTGTCTGTGTGGAGTTTGCATGTTCTCCCCCAGTTCACGTCGGTTTCCTCTGGGTGCTCCAGTTTCCTTCCACAGTTCAGAAACATACTGGTAGGTTAAATGGCTTCTGTAAAACTGTCTATGCAGTGAGTATCAGTGTGTCTGCTCTGCGATGGACTGGCGTCCTGTTCAGAGTGTTCCCTGCCCCTAAAACACTTGCTCGGTCACGCGCTTTCTCCTCGGTTTTCGCTGCTTTCAGCAAACCTTCCTGGATGAATTTCAGGAATGCACAGCACTTACTGTTCTGCTGTTGAAAGCATCTGCCCCACGAAGCGAAGCACCTCAATGTGTTTTTGCACGTATCCCATTCCTGAGGCCTGAAAACCCCACTTCTTTCTCCTGTGACCTGTCTGTCCACACGTCTCCCTCCCTGCACCATTCATCTCCCGCTTCAGCCCAGTTTGCTTTTCCCTTTTCCAAGGTGCAGTTAACAGCACCGACTCCTCTGTGACAGCGACGTCCTCATTGCTGTACGTCCAGTCCATCCATTTTCTAACCTCTTTATCTGACTGAGGTTCGTGGGGGAGCCGGAGTCTATCCCGGCAGGCACTGGGAGCAAACCGGGAACAGGACGCCAGTGCATTGCACTGATAATTTAATTTAATTATTTTCTTAAGGAGGACTTTCCCAACTACATGGAGCTTGGCTTCCGAATAGCCCTGGTTTAAATATGTGGTTGCCGGTAAATGCAGTCAGTTGACAGTTTGCTTGATACTTAATCACTACACTAATGCTGTATGAACAGCTTTTAATAGGTTGCCGAATCGGTGCTGATCAGATGGGTAATTGACTGAAACAATCAGTCCCTCGGTAAGCATCGCATCTGTTGGTAATAACAGCTGCAGAGCTTAGGCCAATTTCTAATCCCCAGGATCTGAAAACTGTTAAATAATACCTCATCCGGCTAGCTAGCGGGTCAACGTTGAGCTCAAGGAAACCACCGTCAGCGAGACTGAAACCCAGATGACAAGCTGGCCGTGGTAAAATGTTTGCACCATCAACGAACCTGGAATCACCCCGTCTCTCTGCCTCGGAAACAAATGATATTTTTTGGATCACAATGCACAGCTCCTCCTGCTGCAAGGACTAATCCCTGCTTTCACCTCCGCTCCCCTCGGTGGAGCGGGGCCCTAGTGCAATTTGTTTTCACGCAGGGATAACTGCAACCTGCTGTGAGCGTGGGCAGCTCCTGGATCCACTTAAAAAACTACAGCTGTGGCGCAGGGCTCCTGGAATCTCTCTCCGACTTCTCCTTCGGGCAAACCTGGGAGCTTAACTTTGAATTCGTCGCACCGTGACCCAGGATTTTGGAATCGCCAGTGGTCTAAGCAATAATGCACACCAAGGGAATTCTCAGAACAACGCAGGAGGGAGGCAAGGTACGACAACATCCTCCAAATCATGCACAGCCTCCATCCAACCCGAGGGCCCAGGGGCGAGGGACCGGGGCGAGGGCCCGGGGCGAGGGACCGGGAGGACACCCGATGATGGCGACACGCAAACCTGCAGTAGCAGCACAGCACTGAGGGTGAACAATGGAAGCCGACTGAGCCTCCACACCGGCAGAGCCCAGACAATGCAGCCTCCCCACCTGGTAGCCAAGGGTCACAGCGGGGAGCTGTTCCAGATTTTGTCCCTGATTTCTAGGTAAACAGATGAAAGCCATGTTCACAACGGAATCCGTTGTCACGGATGCCCCTTGGGGCATCACAATTTTACACTTCATTAGCCTGCCTCAAAGATGTCTAGTCGTCCGAGCAACTTGGTTTTGGAGTGGATTATACAATTTTGGAAACAACTACCCCTCTCGGTGACCTTGCGCACAAGTAAGGGATTAAAAAGTGGCTGGCAATTTTGTGGGCTTTTCAAAACGATCCCACAGTAGGTTGAGGGACTACAAGTCAGGCCTGAGCCATTACTGATACAGTGGTTTTGAAAACAAAGAGGGTATCGCCATCATTCCTCCATCCTTTTTCTAATCGCTTTATCTAATACAAAATATTCTATCACCTGCAGTAAATGGCTAATTAGCAGCTTGACTGGACCTGCTTAACTCTTAACTGAAGTCTTTACATGTTGATGATGTAAGAAACCTATAAAACCTGCTGCACTGTGGTGCAGAAACCAGAGTTGGCCTGCTGTGCCTTAAGGCCGATAAGAAGAATAAGCTTTCTATAGATGTTGAGTTACAAATGGAAACACAAAACTGACACACAAACCCGCACCTTCTCACATACTAAATCCTTGAACCCCACCACACAACTGAGGAGCAGAGGCACTTGCCAAAGTCAAAGGAATGAAGTGAAGTTCTGTGTCCTGTTTAGGACGTAACTAGACGCACACTGCATGTGTTCTCAGCACTGTGAAAAATACAGCCCCCCAGCCACTGAGAAGGCCTTGTGTACAAGCCTTTCACCTCTTTCCATGCCTCTCTGAAGAAATCCACAACAATACTGCTGGTCAAAAAGACTGTCGAGCACGTGTTTTCGAAAGTTGTTTTTCTGCAGCTCCTCTGCTCTCTAGGTCACCGGCACAGGAACCTTGCTCATAGCGCACTACGCAACTTTCTATATCTGTCTAAATTCTCTAATTTAAAGCCCAAGAACGCATGCATGACAAAAGCAATTATTTGTAAGAGCTGGACGCTTGCCTTGCTGAAATACAACGGGAAGTTTTCCCCCCAAAAGGCCCCGTCATAAAAACCAAACTGTATAGAAGGAAAAGGCCATTTTGGGTCAGCTGTGCACAATGGAAATCTTGGGAAAAATCACGGTCTGAAACTATGAAAAGACGTTGATGTAACTGGTAATTTGACGCACTGTCTCCAGACCTCTTAAAGGAATCATACAGCAGCTGGTATCACAGAAAACAACTCTATAGGTCAAGCAGGAACAAAACCCACGTTAACGCATTAAGTACACCCCTTCTTGGCGAGCTGAGCACCACCTCAGACAGATGCAAAGAGTGAGTAATGTCACAGCTGTCTCACCTCCTGGGGTAACACGCTTGCCTCTTGCCCGAGCAAAACAGCAGCAGCTCACTCCGCAAGTGACTCTCCCGAACAAGCGAGCAGTCCGACAGTCGCTTGCAAAAAGGGGGCTCAGTTGTCACGCATCCTCGCTAGCTGTCGAAATACATCGCTTTTTAATCCCGAAAGGCTCGTTAACTGGTCGCGGGACTTGCAAAACACAACCAAACTGGGAAAAAAACAAACAAAAAAACAAATCTCGAGTCCTGTCGGTCAGAGCACTTGTAGTCCCGGGTTGTCGAGAGATTTACAAGTTAACAAAAAAAAAGAGAAACGAATTAAAGTGAAACTGTGCTATTTCGTTTCTGGGTTGTTTTCAGCTTGCTTTTTTTTTTCCTCCCCTTGACAAGAAAATATCCAGACAGCTATAAAACGTCCAATGCAGTCTTGGATTTTCCTGACAAGCATGCCGAGAGAAAAAAGCGAAGCCAGGCTATGTCTGCTGCTAAATTAAGTTCAAACATTTTTCTTGGCCTCGGGTCAAAACACGAGTTTTTCTTCCAGAGTGTCGCTGAAGTCCACAATAAAAAAATGCACATGTACGGGTTGTTAACGGGTGGAAGGGGTGTCCCGGGGTGGAGAAAGTCGACTTCAAGGCATTTATGAAATCCTGGTGTCCGTGCGAGAGGGAGAATAAAAAAAAACAACAACACGAAACCGCTTTCTCGATCGCACGCCTTTCCTGCAAAACTCGCACTTTTTTTCCGCCGTCTTCTTATCACGCAAGGATATATTGTTTTGTTGTTGTTGTTGTTGTTCTCCACAAAAGTCCCGATAGATAGATGCGCAGGGCCTCCACAAAATAATAATTACCAAAAAAAAAAAAAGAAGGAAAACCAGAACACTTATCGAAACTATTCAAGTTAAAACGATGTTAACGATCTGTGGGAAACAGAAGATCCGTATTTTCATGCACCGCGGAAGAAAAAAAAAACCCCAACAAAAACTGCTTGTCCGGTCGAGCAGAAAGATAATCATGAAATCACTGCCCCGGTTTGGGGGCTATAATCAGATCTGGCGTCGAGGCTGGGGACTCCGGAGAAGTAATAAAACGAGTCCGTCAGACTTTGCAAACCCGTCAAGTTTTAAAAACAAGACGGAGCAGCCCGGCGCAAGCAAAGCCGTGACGTTATGGTGAAGTTGTGAAAATCAGTTATCTCCATTTTTTTTCTCTCTCTCTCTCCCCCAAAGGCGAAGGGAAACCGCTGCAAACGAGGACACCCTCTTTAAAAACAAAAGTGTGTCCCTCCTCCACCCCCAGAAAAGAGCTGCAGGTTGGCGCTGAAGACTCCCACCGGAGCATGTCATGTCTTCTCCATCTCTGCTTTGATGGTTTTAATAAGACCTTCGCCACAGCAGCCCAGATCTCTGCCCCCCCCCCACCTCAAAAAAAAAACTTTGTATTTTTTCGGTCCGGTCTGGTTTTGACAAGCGCGGAGAGGGCAGCTCGGCTGAAGTCGAGACACACCCGCTTTTCCGAAAGAAGAAGAAGAAGAAGAAAAAACAAAAAGGGACCTTACAAAAAAAAAAAAAACTCACGAAACGGTGTTTGAAGGAGCTCGGGTCCGCATGCACATCGCTCCAAAGTAAATTTAATCTCCTTGCAGCGAATTTCCTGACTTGAAAAAAAAAAACGCACTCAGTCACCGGAACCCATCAGTCAGCTTCCGAAAAAAAAAAAACCTAAAGTTATGTTGTTTTTCAATTAAAGTAGTTTAAAGCTCCTTAACGTGGCACAATTACAGCATTCAGCTTTCTGGTCAATAAGATGCTCCCCATAACTGTTGAGGGTACCGACAATTCACATGAAGAGCACTAAAACAGCACCAAACTCGCTCGGGAGCGCGCAGTTCCTCCGCAGATTTCTTACGGCAGCCAGGTTACGCGCTCAGCGCCCGACAAGTTCCAACACAGACACGCATCTACTGGCTGACGTCCTTGCCGAATACGTCATGAACTTTGTGCTGGTTCGTCATCTAGTTTTGTGTGCAGGGCCAGCATACCGCGATATTTGGTTTGCCCCCCCCATGAGCTTGTCATCGGTGGTCAAGAGGAGCGCTTTCGCTTTGTTGCCCGTCGATACCGGTTTGGATACTGATGATTCAAACAGAATATTAATCCTCAATTGCTGATGTTACAAATTTCAGATTTTTTTTTACACGAAAAAGAAGCTCCTCATATAAAAAAAAAGATGAAACGCTGATGTATTTACAAAAATGTCATTACTAGCATCAGAGATTTGATATTCGACTTTGAATATCTGTAAAACCTAAACATGATACTTAGCCGAAATGTTAAGTTTTAATCTGCAATTCAGATTTTGATATAATCAATATCAAACATTTTATCAGCAGTTGAGGATTTAACTAGAGTTGTGTACCACATGTTATTAATTCTACAGAGAAGACAAAAAAAACTTAAAAGAAAGAGTGTTGTAATACAAAGACACAGGTTATTGCAATTGGGTAGTTTATGTGCTCTGAGTGCACAGTGACACACTGTTGCCTCACTGTGCTGGAGTCCTGGGTTCAATTCTGGGAGCTGGGGTGCTCTCTGTGTGGAGCTTGCACGTTAACTTAGTTCCCTTAGTTAACATGCATTTTCACAGGGTGCTCCAGCATCCTTCCACAGTCCAAAGACACACTGGTAGGTCAACTGGCGTCGGGGAGATTCTGCCCTGGTGCGAGTGTGTGTCCTGTAATGGACTGGCGTCCTGTCCAGGGTGTACCCTGCCTTGCCAGGATAGCCTCCAGCTCCCCCACGACCCTGAAGTGGATGAAGCAGTTTTAAAAGTGGATGGATGTCTTCTAAATATAAGTAGCATTCACACTTAAAAACAGGAATACCTAACACCACTTTACCCCCATCCTCTGAGTTGAATGACTCAAAATCAGCTTCAGTTCTACATTTTTATGTGAAACACAATAACATTTATTTTATGATGTATGATCCATGTTGGAATAAGGCACGATTGTGGTAGAAGAGGTTATTTGGGAAAATCTGAAATGTGAGTGCTAAACTCCTAATACGGTCATATCTATTCATACCAAGAGGGGTATTACTTTGCTTTTTGATTCCTGAAAAAACACACACACACATCTTTCATAAATTAATGGTTTTAATTTCAAACAGGTACAATACAACATCCAAAAATTCTGAACAGAATCTAAAAGTCATCCAGAACATTTGCAATCCAGTGTTCTGGATTATGGAAGGCATGATTCCCCGGGAACCTTCGAGAACAGGCTGGACAAGATTCTTCTGATCAATGAGAGTAAACAAATACGCAAGATGGGCCAAATGATCTCAATTTGTTTTTATGCTCTTATGTGGGGGCCTTCAACACGGAATTTGCTCTTGATCACACTAGAACTTGTACTATTGTCCTTCTCACAGCACAACAGCCAACAGCCCCTCTTGCTGTCTAGACTGAGTTAGATAAGCCTCTGATCTCCACTATGGGCATCCCTTGATAAATATGGGCTTGACCCCTGATGATGTTTCCTGAGGAAGGTCAGCCGGTTACCATGGTTAACTCTCCTTTGCTTTCTTTTCCCCTACTGCCCCAGGGCCAGAACAGGAGGCAGGTGGTTAGAAGCAGGCTTAGGCCTCCCCCTGGATGTTGTCCCACACACGGATGACGTCCGGACATTCGTTGAGCACCTCGAGGAGCCTGGAGGCAGATTCCATCTCTCCCTGGGACAGCTGTGCCAAGCTGCAGGCAACAAACTCTGGGCCAGCCGCCAGCGTCCGCAGCCCAAGGGAATCCAGGGCCTGTCTCACACCGCGCAGCGAGGACACATCGCAGATGAACTGGGGGAAGAGACCCGACGGAACACTGAGCAAGACGTCCTCCGATTCTTTTGGTAATATGGCAAGAAACTGCATACTTCGCTGCTCAAGGCAATTTTCTGAACCGCACGATGCTTGCCTAGTGTAAACCCAAATTTAAATACAATGTGATTCATATCTACAGTATGTCTGGACATCATTAATGGGATAAATATAAAAGTTGTCTAGACAGCTAAATTAGACCATGTCTGTATTAATCTGAAGACAAAAAAGTGTTTCGTAATTTTATTGGCTCCAATATACTTTTAAGCTGGCTATTTCTGAAATCAGGGGTGGGCCGCAGAAAAACAGTTGCACAAATCACTTCAACGAAAGAGCTTGCTTAAGTCTGAAAACCAGACAACACAGGGAGACTGAGGACGGAAATGCCCAGAACCGAGGGCATGGAGGACAAAGCGATAACGCTAATGATAAGAAAATGAACAGCACAAACTAGACACTGAGACACTGCCATCAGGGTCTTCAAACACAAAGTCAGCTTCGCTTCTGTCTTTTCAGCACAATTCTATTACTTCCTACAGGTATTAAACCAACTTTGGAAACTGGATATTTCACATGAGCACTCAGAACCAATGGGGACTTATTTACAGAAAGGAACAATAAGGTGGGTTTTCAGGTCATCCAAGGTCTCATGGCCTGCTGTGACAGAGACACCCACAGCTAACCCCACGCTTGCAAGGAAGAGTTGGTTGACTGGGGCTTACAAAAAGGAAAATATGATGGTAATAAAAACATTCTTAAATGTCGCAGAAAGCCGAAGGGTTTTCCCACCTGCAGTAATGGCTTCTCTTCCTCATCTTCTGTCTCTCTCACGTCTTCTGCTCCGGACTCTATGGCCAGCTCCAGCGCCCTCTCCAGGGACACGACTCGACCCGCCGCGTCCTGCCCTGACGCCGTGACCACACCCTTCCGCTGGAAACTGTACCTCGCCCCATCACACATTGTCCCTCTTGAGGGAGACAAAGCTTCGCTCCAGTAACAGAGGTCACTCACAGACGGAAGCTCTGCCTGTCTTGATCAGACTTATGTAAGAAGCTAAAGCAGCCATTTATCCTGGTTAATCGAACGAGAATCCAATCAAAAATGTTCTCTAGTTTAAAAATTAGAATCTGTTTGCAGAGTTTGCAGTGTGTCTGACAGGTGGGGGGCAAGAGGAGCAAATCTGCAGTTCCTCATTCTCCCCATGCACTACAGCAGTGGTTACCAGGACCCAAGTCACCAACAATTAGCAATACCAAACTGGGTGGGCCGACATTGGCAATATAAAATAGCGATACCAAATATAAAAAAAAATGACAAAAGAAAAAGGGATTGGAATGTTTGGAAAATGGGGGCATACCCGTTCTTCGCTAGGATGTGTTTGATCTCCCTGTGGGATCGTGCATTGTTGTCGGTCAGGATTTCAATAAGCAGGGAGGAGCTGCCAGGCCCCCTGCCTTCATAAAGCGCATACGAAGAGGCCTTGGACTTGTCCTGAGGGAAAAGAGAACGGTTAAAGAAACAGTGAGCTGACAATTAGCTGAAACACGTCAAGCTCCCGATGTTTACTTATGTAAGAGTCTGCAGCTTCTACATCCTAAAATGGGAAAAACTGCTGCCCATGTGAAATCTTATGTTTCGTTGTTGTTATCTGAAGATTGCAGATGAACTGTCAGAAAATTAGCCAAGCTACCAGCTACACATACTTGTGATTTCACCTTTTTATGGTTGGTGTTTTCTTGTAATCTGTATTGTACCTAATTCATGGTTTCTCATTTTAATATGACAGGATTTGGGGTATTTATCAAATTTTAAGTTCAGTTTCAATGAGGTTTCAGCCTGGAAATCTTCTACTGAAAATATTTTTCAAAACCCTTTAAACTTTTAAACCCTTTTCAAAAACCTTTATACTTCGAAGCATTCATTGAAAACTTTTCTAATTCAACCCGTTGATTTTCATATCTTTTAGGATTTCAGTTAAGGACAATGACACAATTGACTGCTGCAAACCACAGCAGAGGGAGCAAAGCCAAAATGTCCGAGACGTTGCCCAGGTCTACCTGGCTACTAAGCGCACTGGTGCTCATCAGACAGAGGCAAGGCAAGCCTAGAAAGCATTGACTAATGTAATGCATCCCTCCAGATCCTTGAACCTCGATCAAATGCAAACTTTGGACAGGGGGTCCCCAGGTCCTCCAGGTAAGAAAATGACTTTCTCACCGCGCCTTTGACTGCGGCCTCGATGGACGCTTTGGGCATGTTCTTGCTCCTGCACTGCTCAATGATGTTGGCCAGCTGGGCATTGAAGTCAGGGTTTGCTCCTCCTTCTGCACTGATCAGTGAGATCGAGAGTAAAAAAACAACAACAAGATGCCGATTGTACACCCAATTGGACCACTCTGATGCCTGAGCTTGTCTGACCTTAGAAGGTCAGGTCTGTTTAGTACTTGAATAGGAGACTTCTAAACAAAGTCAGGCTGCTGCTGAAAGTAGCACCGATGGACCGACAGCTGGCAGTTTTTCCCCTAGATCAGAAACTCTAAGAACAGTGACAAAGTATCCTTTGTCCCGTCCTTCTACACCGACATTAAAACCGACATCCTGAAGATCCCATGGTGCTATTCAACGGGAGAACTTCTCACCATAGTGAATGAATTGGTTAAACACCACTACAGCCTTGCTGGAGCTGACATGTTTCACACTTAGTTAAAATGTTGAAGAAATTCCCCAATTCAGCATTTTCTCTGTTGTGCAGTAGAGAGTTTATTAACTAATTCCTGTGACCATAGTACTGGATTTATGTAGGATGTTTAACTTTTGAATTAAAAGGGGGGTTTTCTCCCCTAAAAGGACATACCTCTGACAGCCAGTCTAATCATCAAGGCAAACTTCATAAACATGCGGCTCCTGGCAGCATCTTTGGGTCCCTTGATGTTTTTCACTTTGGACCACTTGTTGTGTCCGGCGAACCGGACAGAGCTGCAGTGCACAGAGCGGCCAGGTGGGGTCGCCCAGGACAGGCACAGCGGGAGCACAGCACGGGGCTGTCGGACGGTACAGCAGCACAGCGCGGCCACCGGTGCGCCAGCCGCCAGCTTTCTGCCATAACCCAGGCAGAGTGACCGAGACATCAGCACTGTCCCTGCCATTGCTGCTGGCACTGGGGAGAGGGGAGAGGGGAGGGCAGCTTTCTCTGTGAAAACCCAAACACAGCATGAAAAACAGGCCAGGATATCACTGCGCGAGAATGAGTTGAAGACTCGTTCTAGCGCAGGCTGCACAAATAAAGCAGAAAACACATCTTTCTAAGATAAGTAAGGCTTAACAAGGTAAAAAAAACCTCAGGTAATAGCACTGGCGTAAGTACAGAAATCCAGCAGCTCATGTACACTGACACAGATCAAACTGCAACACAAGGGGAACCAGCTGTTTCCCTGAACCGAAGGAACAAGAAAAGCATATTATTGGTAGATAATAAATAATTGAGATCGAACAAAATATTTCCCTTGGCCAAACTATAAGAGGAGAGAAAACGTGTTTTCAATACTCGTTACCTTCAGAATCAAAATATATCAGGCCTTTGACTGCAACTATCAGTGTAAACAGATAAAACAAAGAAAATACAGCCGTTTCCTTTGCATGTTAAATTAAGATGAGAAGTAACGAACATGTATGTAAGCACACAACGTCAAACCTTCATTAAAAAACAGTTCTTACTGTAGTGTTACCCCATCTCTCTTCCTCGACTGAAGGTCGGAGGTATATTGTTTCACACGTTAATCATTAATACAAAAAAAATCTGTATGACACCACGGCTTTGACGTTTAGCAACAATGTCGAGCACACGTCACAAAACTAATCGGATAATTTTTCTTCATGTTTTAATAGAAGAACAAACTTACAGTTGATCTCAATTCATTGAAAAACAGCCTCCACTAGTTTCCTCCAAATGTGTGTACAACATGAACAGCCTCCCCCCGGCAACAGACAACGCAACAGTATTGTTCCGAGGTTTGACTGAGCCTAAACAGTAGATCAATATTTTCTGTCTCTAAGGTCAAAATTCTGTCCCCAAACTATGATCTCCTAGCGGTGTTGTGGACTAAGACAGAAAGCCCTACAAATTAAAAACAGTTGTGTTTTTTTATGGACCCTCTCGACATTTTTTACTGTTCTATTTTCTCAGTTTATATCGTTGACCTGTTGCCATAAATCAACCGTTCCCAGCGTCAGTCTCGACTGTATTTGTTTTGACAGTCTGAATTAAAAATGGTAAATTTTATTTTAAAATATCGTCATAGCCTCATGGCTCCAGAAAACACGCTTCATGTTTCTGAAATACCAATAAATGCTGGACATCACACCATACGCGTGTTTTCTTTACATGTGTTCATTTATATGTATTAAATAGTAACATTGCATAGCAACATTGTTAACAGTCGTTCTACTAGGTATTATGAACACTTAAGCATAATTTCGGAAATAATGTTGAAACTTATGTGTAAAGCACAATTTATTTGATCTTTCCTGGGGCACACAGTCCCCTGCTGGCAATCAAACCTCTTCGCTGTTCATTGCTTTAACTACCGGGCGCACAGTGCACCGTGAATAGCATCCCTGCTTCAGGGCAATGAGACCCTGGGTTCAGTTCTTGACCTGGGGTGCTGTGTGTGTGGAGTTTGCATGTATTCCCTGTGTTCATGTGGGATTTCTCTGGGTTCTCTAGCTTCCTCCACAGCCCAGAGACATGGAGTTTTTGGTCAATTGTCTTCTGACAAAATTAGGCTCTGGTGTGAGTGTGTGTGCCCCGTATTGGATAAAGCAGTTAGAAAGTGGATGGAAATATATCACAAAAAATGGTTTCCACTCTGCCTTGAAAATTTAAATACCTCTTGCTGAAAAGCAGGTGCTTTATTTTCCCTTGGGGTTAGTATTGTAAACCCCAATTCGATTTTTAAGAACTTTATTTTCTTTTCACAAAAAAAATACAGGGCATCACGAATTAGAAAGCTTTACATTAATATACATACTTAAAACAGTATATATGATCACAATTTGGGTTTGTAAAGAATGCACTGTAATCTCTCTTCAGAGTTCTTGTCTGAGGATTTCAAGCCCTCCTGACATGACGTGCCTTCGAGTCCTAGAGTGTGCTGGCTGTGCTTCCGTAGAGTTCAGAGTTGCTGCAGAATCATAATACAGTGGGTTTCATGAATCAACCACCCGTGACGTGAGTAGGTTTTAATATGTAACTTAGATCAGGGAAGAAAAGTTCCACTCTCCTCACATGGAGTCCAGTAGATTCTAACAGGTATTTTTAGTCAGTAAGAAATTAAGAGCAATCTGACCTCCTATACGAATATTTTAATCAATTAAATAATTAAGATCCAAAGTGAAACCAAAACTGGATGAGTCTCAGGGTCTAGAGAATCAGTGTTACCCATCCCTGTCTCTATATTGAGCTACTCTTGAACAAATGTAGTTTTTATCAGTTTTTAAAGTAATAATGTAGAACTTTACTGATCAGCCTAGAACAAGACATCCACCATACAGACGATCATGGATCAGTTACCCATCAGTTTCCCGAATGAAAGGATTCTTTTGTTGATCACGGAGGTGAGTATGTGCTTTCAAAAATGTTTTAAAAAGTTTAAAAATTGAGATAATATACAGTAGAAAGGTTTGGCTTTGCATGGATAATACCTGCCTGCTCCTGACCTAAATAAATAAATGAACTACATCCCAACCATGCATTTCTGTTTCTACCCCATGCCTATGATCTGCAGGAAAAGGTGAGCTGAATGGTAGTATATGAGTGCAGCACCTCAGTGTCCAGTCTTGAATTGTTTGGCACACATATAATGGAATAATCCAAAAATAACAAATCATACTGTACTTACCACTCATATTTATCTCAGTCACAAATTCCAATTGCAAGAGTGTAAAGCAAAATAAGCAAAATCTGACTTTGCTGTCCCAATGCCTTTGAAAGGCCACTTGTACAACCAAATATAAAATATCCCTTAATTGTCCACATCAAATAACATCCACACAGTATTTTTATTATTTTTTTATTGCGTGTAAAAAAAGAAAAATACATTAAAAAATCAGAAGCCAAAGGACATTGTTTGGATGAGGAAATCCCACATACAGATTTATTTGTAGAGATCCTTTTTCCCACTATTATAGTCAAATATCAAATACAAAAACATACAAAAAACTAAATAAAAACAGAACATCCCTAAAACTTCCTTGTGCTATAAGGCCACATCTTTAGTCCACAGATCAAGTTTATAGAATAGAATTGTCGCCATGAAAAGCTTAAAATACAGAAGTCCAAACCTGGTACTGTACAGAAGTTCTGCTAGTAACCTACAGATCTGGAAGGCATGTTCATTTCTCGGAATTATCAACCCAGTTGATTCAAATAAGCCACTCGGCGCTCAGTCAGAATACAGGGCACTACAGCTCTCTAGGCTAAGGGCTGAACAGGCCTGGATCCTAATCTCTCAGCTCCTGATTCACAGTATCCCATTCCCAAGCCCTGGGGCTCACCGTGTCTTCAATTTCATGCAGTTTAGCTCTTGATTAATTGGCCTAGCCCTTACTTGCACTTTATTCTGCCAAATGACTGCAGAGTTCGCACTTCTTAGTTTTTAAAAACATCTCATGCTTTTAACGGTGGGTTTGCTAAAGAGCAGCTCTTCCTTATCCGCTCCTTAGCAGTATTCCAGGATATTAGATCTCCCATTTGATCCCATTACTGATAAATGAGTGCAGTGAAAAGAGCTGGATACCCTACAGTACAGCTATGGACAGGATAGGTAACCTATTCCAGGTATATACAGTATATATGCAAAGATGTCTGGAAATCAGAACTTTTCAACTTTCATCAACCTGGAAAGACTCGGTTCTCCTCAGTAGCTCAGAGAAAAATTAAGAAATTGCCAGTTAAAGACGTACAGTCACACGTAAGAATCCTGCTGTGTCAAGCATTTACAATAGACACAACTGAGATGAGACTCACTGAAACAGTATGGCTAAAAAAGGGGACCTCAGAAACCCAGCACTTGGTACAGAAGTAATCCTAAACTTCTAACCCCAAGCCACGACATTTAAGAATGGGAAACTCCTTAAAAGGCCGAATAAAACATCCAGTCCAATTACTGCAGGCAAGTAAGATCTGTTTTCTAAAGAAAATTGATCACACCAGCCCCGGGCTTGAGAACTGCGGCCAAAACATTACTGAATCCCCAGCATTGGTAAACCTCCATTCTAAATAGACCAGATAAAGCAATTTATTTGTGTTTTTCTTCCATTTCCTGGCACCAGTGCAAAAACATGCATACCTTAGAAAAGTGAGCATTTAAAAGAGACATGCAATACCCCAGGGGTATGGCACACAAAACTAACAATGTTCACAGTCCTTCTTTTTTAATTCACTAAAGGGTTCAGGCATTTGCAAAAAAAACACAGTTCACGCCTCAAATATTTACAGTTCAAGGATCAAGTTCTCTAACACAGGTAACAACATGTACGGAATTACAGGAACTTTAAAAATTGCTTCATGCAGAATGAAAAAAAACAGACAATTCTTCTCTTGGCCTTGTCCATGTAAAACATCATCATCTTAAAATAGCAGACTGCACAGAAACGATCAAGTAAAAATTCACTGTGAGTGGCAGAGGGCTGGTAGTATATTCAGTATATAAGAAGTGGTATAATTTCTATTTTCCTAGTCCTATTCAAGTTGTATTCCTAAATTGTTTTGCATATTAGAATGGAAAAGGCTTGTGTTATACCCTTGTTAAAATCTGTAAAATATGTATACATATAGCATTTGATTCACATCTCAAAAAGTTGTTCTTAAACATCTTTACAGGTGTCTTTTACTTTATTTGTATAAAGTAAATAAAAGTATCCTCCTTTATATAATGTACATTTTAGTTATCAATCCAAATGTGCACAGTATTGTCAATTCAGCTCCTCATTTCAGGACGGCAGCGTGGGTAAAAGTTCAGGTCTATAGACTGTCTGGGTGGTTGTGGGTTCAAATCCTGAGTGGTGGCACAGCTGCTGTAGCCTTGAGAACAGTACGTCACCCAGATTTCTTCACTAAAACCCAATTACAAACTAGCAATTACAATGAGCTGGGCTGGGCTGTATGACCTCCTGTTATTTGGAACCTTTCTGCTCTTATGTATGCTTCCAAATGATAATTCAAGGAGAGACTGGCCCAAAAAAGGACAGAATTCTCCATGCCTCACAGGAGGCAGGGGTGAAGAGAATTCGGAGCCAGGTGCTTGAGCATCATGTGGCTCTGTTGGATCGTGTGGCAAGAATAAACATCCCTGCATGTCTTCTCCATCCTCTCCGAGAGGCCTTTTGTGGACGAAAAGTAACAAAAGAACAGCATTTGTGAGGAACGATTCCCAGGTTTGTCATAACTGTGGGAGTTTCAGAGTGGGCTAGACTCTTAAACGTAATCAATACCTGCTGTTTTTCTTTTAAAATGATCAATCATATGTGTTCTATACATAAAATTAAATCACCTGAAAGCTCGTCTGAACTGCTAGTACAGCCAGTTGATTTTATGTCGTGGTTGCAATACACTGTTCTTCCAAAAGGTGGCAAAGTTCTATCCTCAGTATTTTAAGATGAGCAAGTCTTCTACTGTGTTCAATAAGGTCCAGATTATGCAACTTTCCAAAATGAGCTCTCTCTCACACTCTACACTAGACACCAATTTTAACATTTACCACAATAAATTCACCCCTGTTTTTTTGATAAGAGAACAAAAAACCTTTTAAAGATTAAAGAAACGGTTTAAGTCGCCCTTCATTCAATATGATATATGATAATATGATATCTTAATTCTGTTTGCTAGTAGCCAACAAGGAATGATTCTGGAGAGCACCGACACGGAGAGTTTCTTGTGTGCTACAGTAGATGTTACATAATTCCAATAACAGTTAATTAAAAATCATTATTTAAATCCTGACTGGCTGTGATATACGGTACATGTTCAACCACTACAAAATATCTGAAGGTATGTTCATGTGAACAACCCCTTTCTTCTCTTAGCAGGTGAATTGGATTATTTCCTTTTTTCACAAGGTGGTGATGAATCATCTTATTTATGCAGAACTTAGAACATAAGAAAGGTTACAAATGAAAGGGGTCATTTGGCCCATCCAGCTCATTTGGTAGGTAGTATAAAACACTGTATATTCAAAGATCTCAACCAGCGGTTTCCCGATGGCTTCAACAACATGGGTACCTTGTTCCATACTCCCACAACTCTTTGGGTATAGAAGAGCCTTGAGTTATTTTAGCACTTCCATATTGTTTGTCAATGGTCTTGAGGAATTTGAATATTTTGATCAGGTCACCTCGTAATCTTCTCTGTCCAATCTGTCAGAGAAGGACCTTATACCCTCAATGTAACTGGTTGGTTTTCTATGAGCTGATTACAGAGCAATGATATCTTTTCTGTAACCCTTCGACCACAACTGTACACAATATCGTAAATTACATCAGAATGCCCCACAATGTTTTTAAAATGTTCTGGTTCACACGAGTAAATCTCCCATTGATCACCTCCCAGCAAACACTTAGCTAAATAATCAAATAATCACTTCCTGCAGCTCTCTGCTTAATATGGCAGACAACAAGTTATAAAATATGGGCCTGTGTGTCTGTTGTATAGGGATACTGTACCATGTTGAATGGCTAGATCCAAAATGAAACTCCTCTCAGCGCTTTGACCTTATGAATAACGCTGGTGGAAGATTTCACATTCTTAATATCATGAAAAACACTTCTTTCCTTCAATTCCCAAACAGCTCCTTCTAATGGCTTTACACAGTGCCCCAGCTAGAGAGGTTACCACATGGAGCAACTTGAACGGCTCAGTAGATTGCACCATACATTAGTGAGGCTGTGTGACAATCTCTTCTCAGCAGAACTAATCATACAATTTATTAGCAATTACTTTATCAATGCAGGGCCCTGATAACTTTCCAACATGGACACACACATCAAAGCTAAATGGTACTATTTCAAATTCTAAATAGTACAGCCTTTTTCAGCGGTCTTCGCGGTCGTCAACCAATGACAATCAGGTTAGCACCTTCTGTATCTAGACACAGGAACACTGTTCTGCCATCATCAAGGCAGACTCATCTCATCTCCAACCCTGTTTCTGGAGACCCCAAGTCGAGTTAGTCTTAAAGGGCGCCTAGAAGATTTAAGCAAGTAAGCTCTCTAATTTAAGAGAACACTGATGCTTGAGGGCTAAAGGGTATTGATATTTGGGTACCAGACAATTTCTTAATTAATTAAGCCAGACATTTGTTAAATTAAGTAGTTACAATGAAATTGTAAATAGTCTTTACAAACTGGTGATTTTAAGGAGACCTCTAAAGCCCACTTGGTTGGCGGGCTCTAGGACCAGGGTTGGAGAACGGTCTAGTACCTGTCTAGGCAAATTCAACCTTAAAGTTAAGCAGCTTAAGCAGGAAACCTGAAACAGAAAAACTGAGGATGCCCACTGGCCAACAGTCCACTTTGCTCTTGGATTATGGGCACTGATAACAAAACTAAAATACCGCTAAACTGGAGGTCCAATGCCACCCACAGAGGGGGCAGATTGTGTTCCTGAGCACAGTCTGGAAATGTGAGGTAGAAATCATCTTTTCCATCACCTAAATGTCAAACACTGGTTTGTGGTTTGTGTTTATGTAGTTCCCTGCCTGCTGCATGTCCTGAGATTCTGTGCGATTCTGGTCTTGCACTTGTTCCTTCATCCCTCGCCACACGAACAGACTCCAAACACGCAATCTGGGTCATGTGGAAGCACACAGCCTGCTGTCCCAGACCCACACCTCTCTTTCACACACACTTCCTCCCAAGATAACGCAAGGCCTGTTCATACAGGGCACAACGAAAACAAGCCGAATTTACCCAACAGCATCTGATGGCTTTCCTTTCATGTCCTCCAATTAGTCATCCCCTCATCTCGCAGCTGCAACCCCTGAAGCTCCACAGGAGAGATGAAGTTGACAACACAGCCTGGCAGAGGATCTGCACACTGTCTCCCCTCAGTCGAGCATGTCTGAGTGCTCTCTCCATCCATGTATTAGATATGTAATTTTCAGTGCCTGCAACAGCAAAGCTAGGGCTCAAAATAAGGCTGGTTTCTAACCTGGCACTGGTTTTTACACAGCTCTCTACAAGAGCAAGGAAAAAGTACAGATTAATTCCACATTGAAGAAATACAGAGTTTTGGCTGTTGATCCTGCTTCAAGCGTGTTCGGAAGAAGGTTCAAATGTCAAAACATTGTTTCTTCAGTGAGGAATTAAACTTAATTGTTCCTTTGCAGCGAACACATACTGATGCAGCTCCCCAGTAGAGCCTCTATAAAACTGACCGAGCCTGGCAGAGTCACAGACTGCACTGCAGACACCCCCTACTGCTGGGAAGGACGTGGGAACAGACACTAAAGGTCATCAAAACACTCAATATTTCATGTCTGAGAGAATCATCAACAACCAACCCTTTTCAGAAGTTTGCACTCACAATTCACAACCATTCACAAAACTGAGTAACCCAGTATGGTGGACCAAATGCAGAAACTGTGATATCAGAACAGGAGTAGTTTATATTCTGCAAGGAAAGGGTACTGTCAACCAAGAGATGATATGAACCGCTCCTCCATTAAAAAACTCCAGGGTTTCAGATCATCAAACTTCATATGTTTTACCTCTTCTCACACGTGATTCTTACAGTTGAGACCAGGGGCTGGAGCCCCAGTCTTCAGGGGATTACAGTCTCTTCTGGGTTCCTTGTACTTAAGTTCCCCATTTGCAATAGGACATCCTTAACTTTCAAAAACTGAAACCTCTTCCGGGTTTAATGCATTTGATCATTTAAAGAGAACTGCAAAACCTTGCCTTATTGCTAGACTTTGGCCCTAGGGGACCGAAGTTAAGGGTCTCCTTGGGCATGTTCAGAAATGCCTCCCGTAGTAACTATTTCAGTCTAAAACGAGGACTCAAAGCCAGCTGGAGGGAAAATGAGCTGGACAGGGCTCTAGTACATACAGTGTAGGCTGGGGCACCGAACTCTGGGCAACACTGCCGACGTCCCAATTAGTTCTCTTCCTCCCAGCTGAAATGGCTACAGAGCCTGTTCTTATTTCAGAATATTTAACGTGGCATTCCAAGCAGAATGAACAAGAAGACACACCCTTATCTGAGCTTACAGAACCATTCACATTCACTGGACAGGAATTCAAAGGATGACAAAAAAGGACAGGAATTAGCTATCACTTGCTCCACTCTCTTCACTTCAGCTATCAGAAACAGTGTCTGAAGCCTTCTTGGTTGACGTAGCCAGTGATCCTGTTACCTATGATATCACTAGGTACCTTCACTGAGCATTAGCTACCAATTATGTACAGGTACTGTATCTGTGCAGAACAAAAAGACTAGTGACCCAACAACAAGACACCGGTACACAAATCCAACAAATAGGTCATAGAACTGATCACAATATTTATCATAATATCACTCATGATGCATAAATTCATCAGGATCAATGAATGAAAGCGATTTTTCATGAAAAACTGAAGCACGATATCTGCTCTTTTTAGATGGAACAGAATTCTCTTGCAGGGAAGCCATTAAGAGATCAGGTATGGGTGCTAATTTATTCCAGAGTATGCCTTGCATGTCGTTTTGGTTAACACCGACACATAACGTCATTTAAAGGAGTGTTTTTAAGTGCATGGCTTGTCTCTTATTGTATTTTATGTCTTGGCATTTTCATGCAATTGTGGGTTGTTCTTTACCTCTGGATTAACATTAATTTTAAAAAATCCACCAGAAACAAACAAACAAACAAAACAAATGCTCCTGAAAATACTGCATTAATGTAAAAAAGAAGGAAATGGCACATCTCATACAAAAATGGTTTCTTCTCTTCAACAGAAAGTTGAAAAAAACTATTTTGGGAGCTGTATTTATATGGAATAATTTGACCTCAAAATCCCACTGTTTTGAAGCTTATCCGCAATACATTGTTGTTCCTGGCACAATTATTCTCACTAATATCCTGATTTTAAAGGTGCACATCAACCGAAGATAAAAAGATACGCATCTTGCCTGAAGCTCATTTAAAGCTCTTTTTTCTTTCACCAAGTTAAGAGTGTATATTAACTGTGAAGAATCTGTTGTGGGGAAATGAGGCCTCAAGTCACGAGCAGGAGGGAATGCCCTGCACAGCAAGAATAATGAAGAAAGCGCAAGAGCTTGCACAGAGGATCACAGATGATATGAACTTCATTCGTCCTGGCTTTGTAATACCTATTTCAATGTGCTCATTCACCAACGTGGGAAACCCAGCACGTTACTGGTAGTCTATTGCACAGAATGGTTTAGTAAATAACATGACATAATTTGCAATTCACAGGTTTTAACAGTCCATACAGATAATTTCACACAAACCCTTCTGCATTCTTGCATGCCATCCTGTTTTCCTGAATCAAAAATGTAGTAATTTGCTCAAGTCCCAAAGTACATTCAGTACATAGCTCAGGTTCACTAAATTCCTGACAGAACATGAGAAAACAATCCTGTATTAAAAGGTACGGAGTTGTGTGCTGTCCTTACTGATCGCAGCAAATAGAACCACTCATTTGCGGAACACAAACAAAAATGTCAGTTTTCCACAGATGACATACATAGAATACCCTGTGATTTTACAGTGCACTAAAAAGCATTTAGTACACACCGTGTATCCTTAAGAGGGGTGGTCACTCTCATTCCAGAAATTCAGTTCTATGTGGAATCATTAAAGGCATATGAGTAAAGGCCTAGCTACTTGTAATACATTGGAATCTACAAGTTAAACAAATACTAAGTGAATATCAGTCACGGCTGCTCTTCCTGAGAGCCAGGGTTACAGCCACTATCTTCGACTACACCTAAACCTGTGGGTTTTTCTATGTTAAATACAAAATGTCTGAGGACTTTATCCAAACTGTACTTTTCTTAGTCAAGGTCCACAGGGATCAATATTTATGCATATGATACTTTTGCCTTAATGGAGAAGTTATTTGGTAAAACAATGTTTTGTTTTGGTTTTGAAAACATTAAAAAGGGTTCATCACTGCATGATGTATTTAGAAGATTTTTTTATGAAGCATAAAATCAAGCATGTAAAATAACTTTAAACAACTTTTAAGGTTTGTTATTAGGGCCTGGACAGTACCTCAGAAGACAAAAGTTTAAACTCAGTGCAATCACTAAAGTGGAATACAGTACATTGTGTTGAGAGAGAATTCTAAAAACTAAAACTGTAATGGGAAAGCCTTATGATCCTGAAAATCTAAAATACTACATTTACAGCAAAATAAAGAAGCCAGGTTGCTCAAGCTTTACCCTGTGTGCTTTTGAGGATGCAAGAATTGCAGCACTTCCTGTCAGTAAACAGAAGGTGAAAGGTCACTTCCTGTTTCTAGGGCTAGCTGATCTCACATTCACTCTGTGACTCTGTGGAATGCTGGTTGTGGGATACCTGGGCTGGATATACAAATTTAAAATAAAGATATGCCATTTCTAAAAAGCTTTTTCTTTTAAAAAAGAGATACAATTTGAAAGGGGAGCAGTGGGAGAAGATGGCAGTTTAAGGGCTGAGTCTCTGTGGTGCACAGCAGGGGGGCAGGGTAGGGGGCGCTGTGGGGCCGAGGCGGAGGTTACGCGGTCTTGGTGAGCTTCTCCGGTTCTTTGGAAGCCCACAACTCCTTGTGCTGCCGTCGTCCGAAGCCCTCGTCGTAGTTTCCTTTGCTCTTGAAGAGCTGCTGGAAGTGTGGCTTGCAGTAGAATTCGCCTTCGAGGGCTGCGTAGGAGCCCAGGCTGTGGAAGGGATCAGAAAACACACAGGTCAGGAGATTACAGATGACACATCAGACTCCACCCTCCTCTGATGATTTCAGATTTCTCACCCGTGGTAAGACATGCTGGTAGGTTAGATAGTTTCTGGGAAAAGTAGCCCTAGTGTGAGTGTGAGTGTGAGTGTGAGCGTGTCTGTCTGACCAGCCATGGACTGGCGTCCTGTGCAGGCTGTACCCCGTCTGTGCCTGGTCCTTGCTGGAACAGACTCCAGCTTCCCAGCGGCCCTGGCCTGGACGAAGCAGTCCGACGCTGGGCGAGCGTACAGAAATCAGAAAGAGGCTTTAAGTGAGCAGTTTGGTGGAGTGCCGTGCCAGCAGGGGGCAATCTTACCTCAGCTTAGTGTTGCAGTGCTTACAGCAGAAGCAGGACGTGTGGAAGATGAACTTGTCTGCCACCAGCCGCTCCATGGGGTAGACAGTCTTCTCACAGGACGCACAAACCTCCTTCTGGGTCTTCAGGCTGAAAGACTGCGACACGCACCTCGGCTGTCAGTGTGAGCAGCTCGCATCACATTCCCATCTCCTTAACCTTTCATCCGCGAGCAAGCCCTTCTGGGACAGAGGCTGTAATTCTGTCCATCACTGTACAGACCTGCGTAATGTCAGCAGCTGTATCACCCCACAACTTACAACTCAAGATCAGCAGACTTGAGCCTGGCCAGTATCTTGGTGGGAGACTCTAGGGAAAGCTAAGGTTGCTGCTGGAAGAGGTGTTAGTGTGACCAGTAGGGGGCACTCATCCCTGAAGTCTATGAGTGTACTAATGTACTATAGCTGCCGTCACATAATCCAGGTGGGGTTGCACACTGGTGGGGGTGGAGGGGATCTCCATTACCTGTAAAGTGCTTTGAATGGAGTGTCCAGAAAAGTGCTATATAAGCTTAAAGACTTATTAATCATTATTAATGCCTGTTTGTTAGTGTCTGGAAACCATCATGTTCTCCAAGCCAGCATGCTACCCTGCTTTTTACAAAACAAAGGCTTACCTTAGAGCGCTGAACAGGTTTGTCTTCAGAGCCTGTTTTGTTGTCCTACAAGAAAGAGAAACCAGAGACCAGATTTGCTTGTTAGTTTTGTTCCTTAATTAAAAATGTTATGTTTTGTAAAGCTCCCATTTCTTGTTCCTAGAGTTACCTTACAATAAGTAAATTTTTTATATATTTTGACTTATCAGTACAATAACCATGCAAGACTGAAGTTTCAAAATCCGCTTCGTTTCATAATGAGCATTTATCAGCACTGTCCTCAGGTCTGGAGCAAAATGAAAATCAGACTGTAACCTAAGGATTCGCTTGCTGTTTGCCCTACAAAGGCAGCATTATCTCACAGTGACTCTTAATTAGTTTTTGTTCCTCTTCTGTTTCATGCCCTGCACTCCTCCTTTTCACATCAACAAACCATTCTCAGACTGGGTGATTTCCTGCAAACTTCAAACCCAGCTGTAAATGCCAAATGAAGAAGTGACAGCAGACCAGCCAGTTCTGCCAGGCTAACAGTTTGTGTGAAGTTCCTGTAAAGCAGAAGGTAGGACATGGGGCACTGTCTGTGCTCAGAAGGCCATCCTCAAAAATAAATGTGTCAATCATTCTTCTCTCTTTTCTTATTCCCACACCCTAGCAGAGCAGCTCATCTGGTCAGTGTCTGTGGTGTTCAGTATATTGAGAAGACAAGACACCCCCTTTCATGGGACAGGAGAAAGACGGGGTACCCACTTGCACAACTTGGCGTACTGCAGCAGTCAGGGTACAATTCCTGTTCTGGGATACCCGCCTGGAAGTCCAGAGTCTTAACCAGAAGGGTTAATGATATTTTATTTAATCTTAATTTCCAATAACATTAAGTGAATGAGGAGTGGCTGCAGGCCTCAGCAATGCTGCCTCGTAGCACTGGGGCCCTAGGCTCAATTCCCAGGGTGCTGTCTGTGTGGAGTTTGTATGTTCTCCCCACGTGCGTGTGGGTTTGAATCTGTGTGCAGGGTGTATCCCGCCTTGCACCTGTTGCTTGTTGGGATAGGTTTCGGCTCCCCCGCGAGCTTGTATTGAAAGAAGCAGTTCTAAAATATCTGGATGGATGAAGTGAATGGAGCACACTGATTTGGCCAATTAGTGTTTCAGTCCGCTGTGGTAAACCCTCTGGCTAACAAATACAGCGGGCTGACTAGAACATTGAAGACTAAATTACAGGATCTTTCTCAAAGGACACAACAGCAGTGTCCACACTGAAGACCCAAGACTCGCTACCTACAGGTCACGCAGTTTAACCACTGCTCCTCACTGTCTTCCAGGTGGTGCCAGGCTGTCGTTTCTCCCAAACCAGATGTTAGAGAATTCTTCATCAAACACCTCAGGGTCTCTCTCTACAGTCTTCAGTCCTGACAATATGCCTGTAGCGATCCAAACCACAGCATACCCCTGTCCTGTGCTGGTTGGCACAAGCCATATGTCATCCTGGTGGGATCCCCATGCATCTCTGTTCTCTGCTCCCTCTTGGGTTCTGCCTGCTGCCTGGTCCATCTGGCTGTTGCCCTCTCACTGCCCTTCAGCGGC